TAATAATTACGGGACGATGCCAAATTGGGATACGAGTTTGGTGACGGATATGAACGGATCGGATGGAACTGTGCTCAGAGGCTTTGGGGGTAAAAGTACATTCAATGGTGACATTACGGAATGGGACACGTCGCAAGTAACAGATATGCAATACATGTTTAATAATGCTTCTGCCTTCAACCACGACATTTCCTCGTGGACTGGAACGGCAGCGACGACGGCGCAAACTGACATGTTTTCCGGCGCAACTGCGTTTCAAGCGAAATTTAAGTGCACCGACGCCGTCACTGGTCCTGCGTATTCGTGCGAAGGTCCATCGCCAATCCCAGACGCGAGCTGGCATACTTTTGTCACAGAATGTTTGGATGAATCTACAGCGATTAAGGTGACTGGAGAGTGTATAGTCTGGGCTCGATCGAAAGAGGTTTGGTACGGGACGATGCCGAATTGGGACACAAGTTTGGTGGAAGATATGAGTGGATATGATGGAGGTTTTCAAGGCTTTGGTGGTAAAAGTACATTCAACGGCGACATTTCGAAGTGGAACACAGGAAAAGTGACAAATATGTTTTACATGTTTTATGTCGCTTCTGCGTTCAACCAAGACATTGGGAGTTGGAACACAGCGCAAGTGACTGATATGGCATATATGTTTATAGTCGCTTCTGCGTTCAACCAAGACATTGGGAGTTGGAACACAGAGAAAGTGACTACTATGCATGCTATGTTTGCTGCCGCTTCTGCGTTCAACCACGACATTGGGGATTGGAATACAGAGAAAGTGACTTCTATGGGATATATGTTTCAGTCCGCTCCTTCGTTCAACCAAGACATTGGGAGTTGGAACACAGAGAAAGTGACTACTATGTATATGATGTTTTATTCCGCTTCTGCCTTCAACCACGACATTTCCTCGTGGACTGGAACGGCAGCGACGACGGCGCAAACTGACATGTTTTCCGGCGCAACTGCGTTTCAAGCGAAATTTAAGTGCACCGACGCCGTCACCGGTCCTGCGAATTCGTGCGAAGGTCCCTCGCCAATTCCAGACGCGAGCTGGCATACTTTCGTCGCGGAATGTTTGGCTGAATCTACAGTGATTGAGGTGACTGGAGAGTGTATAGACTGGGCTCGATCGAAAACCGTTTGGTACGGGACGATGCCGAATTGGGACGTGAGTTTGGTGACGGATATGAGTGGATGGGACAATGGTCCCCGAGGTTTTCATGGTTTATCTAGTTTCAACGCCGATATCTCGAAGTGGAACACGTCAGCACTAATGGCTATGAACGCTATGTTTGAGGGTACCACGTCGTTCCAACAAGACATCGGGGGTTGGAAGACGGAAAAAGTTACAAACATGTGGGCGACATTTAAAAATTCTGCTTTCAACAGAAATATTTCGGGATGGGACACGTCTGGAGTAACGGCTATGAACGCTATGTTTCGTGGTGCCACTGCATTTAATCACGACATTTCCTCATGGACTGGAACTGCCGCAACTACTCAGCAACCGTACATGTTTGAAGGCGCGACTGCGTTTCAAGCGAAATTCTCGTGCGACGACGCCGTCACTGGTCCTGCGAGATCGTGTGTATTGAATCAAAGCTAGTTGGTTCGCACGGAGTGTCCGACCGCCAAAATCGCCAACATGGGTTCAGAGGGTGATTGTTGGTGTCAATATCACGACGGTTCAGTCACGGAAATCGTCGCCACCGGCACGAGCGGTTATATGGCGTGTCTTTTGGCATAAAATCACGTTGTTTTTAAAAACCACCTTTACTTATATACCTTAGAAAAGTATCGTCACGTTTTGGGGCGACGCTGTGGCGAGAGCTCTAAATAGTAAGTGTAGCGATAAAAGCGTCTAAATACATGAATCGCTTAAAACTAAACCATCACCTTTGTCATCTCATAGGGAATTAGGCCCTACTGGCCCCGTTTCTCTGTCCATTTTCTGGTCGGTTTCACATTCCACGCTGTTTCCCTCTTGCAGTCTTGCAACTCGCGCTGAAAAAATTGTTTGAATTTGTTTGAATTTCATCTTTATAAAAAAATAATGCAAGTCGAAGACGCGTATCCGACCGCAAACGACGGGTTTCAAATCGAGTTCCTCCGATGGGGTGGCGGACGTAATTTTGCGAACAACGCGTCGTCGTCCTCCTCCTCCTCGTCCCCCTCGTCGCGTGCTCCAGAAAACGTCGTGATACTATTGCACGGATGGAGCGGTGGTCCAGAGTATTTTCAATTCTGCATGCAAACGCTGAAACACAACGAAAAGACGTGCTATCTCGCGCCGAGACTGCGAGGCCACGGGTGTAAAGACGACGCGAAAGGCAAATTTCACATCGCGCGTTTGGCAAAAGACGTGCACGACCTCATCCAATGGTTGAAGAAGAAACAGATTTGCGCGGAAAATCAACAGTTTTCTTTCGTTGGCACTAGTATGGGCGCGTCAGTTATTTGGTGTTTTGTGGAACTGTTCGGTGAAAGTGAGGTGAAGAATTACACGTTCGTCGATCAAGCGCCATTACAAAACGTTCGAAGCGATTGGTGCCTAGGTTCCACCGGGTGTTTCGACGAAGTGTCGTTGAAAAATTTGCAAAGTGCGGTGCTCAAAGGTCCCGACTTGTCTGAGTTTGCGGATGGTAACGAACGCGCGTGCGTAGCCGAAGGATCTAATTTTAAATGCGAGAAAGAAGTGAAAATGTGCACTTTGAGTTGCAAGCCAGAAGCTTTGGCAGAGCTGATGGCAGACCACACGAATCTGGATTGGCGACCGTTGGTTGGGAGCTTAGAGAAGCCAGCGCTCGTGGCTGTCGGAGAGAAGACGCAAATTTTTCCGTGGAAAGGCGTGGCGTACGTAGGATCTTTGATGAAGAACGCGCAAACGATGGTATGCAAAGACTGCGGGCATTGGTTATATCTAGAACAACCTGGTTTGTTTGGGTTTGCGCTTTCTAACTTTATTTCCACGTCTGAGTCGGGTGAGAGTCAAGGTCCCTCGAACGAAAGCATAGAGGCTGATTTACGAGGCGGCTACGAGTTCTATAAGGACAAATTTTACTTCATAGACGCGAAATCGGTCGACTATCGGTTCGTCGGCGGCTCGCCGGGACACTATAAACTACTGTAACTACTGTGTACTACCACTAATTTTACCCTTGCGCGCCCCGCTCTGTCTCACGGCGTCGCCATCAAAATAATTTCGATCAATTTCTTCTTCTCCGTCATCGCCGAGGCGTTCAACAAGTTTCCTAATCTCCAATAATTGATTATGAAAACTAAATCATCGCAATCTAACTCACTCAGTTGCCCAGTCAACTCCTTCTTCTTCATCAAGTACGCCTTCTCGCCCCTTTTCAATTTGCCACACCCGCCTGGACCGGCATACGCGATGACTTTCGCCAAAACGTTCTTCATTCCTTCATTTCCCCTCGCTCTTTGTGCCAAGTGCCCCGCGATAGTCGCTTTCCCGTTATCCCTCTCATACAACACCTCATCCTGTTGCCCGTTTAAACGCGTAAGCTCTAACGTCTTTTCGATGACAAACGTATCGTTCGTAAACGCGCTTAAAATCAACGGCGTAGACCCGTCAACGAAATCTTTCACCGCCATATCCAGACGCTCCCCGCGTCGCTCGCATTCGAGAAGCACCATCTCCAGACACTTCATGCTCTCCGCGGACGCTCCGTACACCGCGTAATGCAAACAACAACTCCCGTTCTCATCTCGCGCCAGTAACAGCTCTTTTCTCGTCCTTTCCTCCAAAGCCGCGCTCAAAAAGAGCTCTCCTACCGTCGCTGAGTTGCCTTTTTGCATCTGTTCCATCAAATACGTACGGCGTTTCCCGCCCCCTCCTCCTCCTCCTTTTCCTCCTCGCGTCGTTGATGATGTTTCGTGTCTCTCTCGTCTCGCCAACGCGTTCGCGTTGGGCATTTTAAGAAGTACTCGCAACGCCGAAGCGTTGTTGCATTCGAAGTAATCGCTTTTCCACTTTGACGACGACGATGACATCTTCGTCGAAGATGTCGTCGTCGCTACTGCTGATAACATCTCTTCTCGTCGTCTTTAATCGTCGTCGTCGTTGGATATTCTCGCGAGATTTTTTGAGGTGAGATGTAACAACGCTTGTATTTAGGGTTTACAAATTTTTGTGAGAAAATCCTACACCACTTAAACACTTAAAAAAACACTTAAAACCACACTTTTACTACGAAAAAAGAGAGACATGTCCGGCGAAAGCACGGGAGGTGGCGGCGCCTTTTCCGCCTCGAAGAAACTTTTGTCCTTCTCCGGTCCGTCGTGCATCTGCTGCGCCCCGACCGCGTGGTGGGAACTCGACGAATTTTTGGAAGGAGAAGAAAAAAAGGCATCATCATCATCATCATCATCGTCAGGGGGCCGCCAACCGCCCTCGATTCTGAACACGTTCACGAAGACAAAAACACCGTTCCAAACGCTTTCTCCGAATCGCATAGGATGGTACATATGCGGTCCAACCGTGTACGATTCCGCGCACATGGGGCACGCGAGAAACTACATCAATTTTGACGTTTTGAGGAGAGTCATGCAGGATTATTTTGGGTATTCGGTTCGGTTCGTGATGAACGTGACCGATATCGACGATAAGATTATTTTGAGAGCGCAGAAACGGAGAGCGGAGTTTGTGATGAGTCGAGCGAAGAAAGCACTGATGAAGGAAGAGAATGAGGCCGTGAAGAATCTCGTCGCGGATATTGAAAAGGCGGTGGAGACGAACGCGCCGCTGAAGGAGTTGTGCGAGAAGGTGGAGGCGTTGAGAGCGAAGGCTTTGGACACGGACGGTTCGATTTTGGATGTTGGAGATGGTTTTTCGAACGATGAAGAGGAGGAGGACGGTTCGTCGTCGTTCACCGCATCGGTGGATGGTGGAAAAGACTGGTCAATTCAGACTGGATATTTGAAGCTCGCGCAATTTTACGAGAAGGAGTTTATGGAGGACATGCGGTTGTTAGGGGTGAAAAATCCAGACTGTTTGACCAGAGTGAGCGAATATACGAAACAAATTGTGGAGTACATAGAAGGTATCATAAAGAACGGCTTTGCTTACGAAAGCAACGGGAGCGTATATTTTGACGTCACGGCGTTTGAAAATAGCGAGAATCATAAGTATGCGAAACTGAAGAAATCGGCTTTGGACGACGTCGAAGCGGCGATGGACGGCGAAGGCGCGTTATTGAAAGCCGAATCAGAAAAGAGGAACGATTTCGATTTTGTGCTTTGGAAGAAATCGAAAAAAGGCGAACCATCCTGGCCGAGTCCGTGGGGAGAAGGCAGACCGGGGTGGCACATCGAGTGTTCTGCGATGTGCTCGGACGTGTTGGGAAAGTACGTGGATGTCAACGGAGGAGGCATAGATTTGAGTTTTCCACACCACGAAAATCAGTTGGCACAAAGCGAGGCACATTATGACATCAAGCAGTGGGTGAACTTCTTCGCGCACAGCGGACATTTGCACATCGACGGTTTGAAAATGTCAAAAAGCTTGAAGAATTTCATAACTATTCGTCAGGCGTTGAAGACATATTCGGCGAGACAATTACGGTTTTTGTTTCTATTACATAATTGGTCGGATCCGATGGAGTTAACGCCAATTATATCCAAAGAGGAAGGTAAAGGAGCAACGTTTAAGCAAATGGATGCCGCTATTGGGGTAGAAAAGACATTCGCAGAGTTTTTTCACTCCGTTAAAGGTGCGTTGAGACGAACAAAGTACGCGTGCGATAAAGATCAAATTTGGCTCCCGTTGGAAAAGAAGCTTTCCGATGCTTTCGATGCGTGCCAAAAGGAAGTCCACGAGAGCTTATTAGATAACATCAACACCTCAAGTGTCATTTCTTCTATGTTAGCAATGGTAAAAGAGTTCAACACGTACTTGGCGTCGGTTGAAAAAGACGCAAACCACGCTTTGCGACCGTTTTTAGTCGAGAGTGTGGCGAAATACGTGACGTACATTTTAAATTGCATGGGAATTTCCGGCGAAGCGAACGCGCCGTTAGGATTTACCGATATCGAAACGGGCATTGAGGGTGATAGAGGTAATGGGACGGCGACTACGAGTGCTGCGACGAGCAATGATACGAAAGAGGAAATTTTAGCGCCAACGTTGGACGCGCTCACGTCCTTCCGCGACGAAATCCGAAGGCTCGCCAAAGGAGAAGAGCTCTCTCCGAGCGCAATCTTGGGTCTCTGCGATCAACTTCGCGACGTCGTCCTTCCAACGATTGGCGTCAAACTCGACGACAAACCTGATGGCAACGCTTTATGGAAACTGTACGCCCCGGGCGAGTTGGAAAAAGAACGACAACGCGAGGAGGAAGAAAAAGAGCGCAAACTACTGGCGAAGCAAAAGCTGGCGGAAGAAAAGAAACGAAAGGAAGAGGAGAAGGGGCAAAAAGCGAAAGTTGCGCCTCAAGTGATGTTTAAAATAGGCGAAAATGAAAACATGTACGGGTCCTTTGATTCCGAAACTGGGATGCCTTTAACCATGAAGGACGGATCAGAAGTGACGAAAAGTCAAACGAAAAAGTTGCAAAAACTGTATCAAGCGCAGGTGAAATTGCACGAATCGTATCTAAAATCAGTTCAAGAGAAGATGGGAAACGTGCAAATTTAATTGATATTCTTTTTATGATTCTCATCCGAATGAATGAACAATATGTTATTTATATACACACCTTTCGTTTACTGCTTATGCTGATGCTGCTACAGAATCTCTCTTACTCTCTCTCTCGTTTACTTTTGGTAGTTCAACTTCTTCGCCAACTGCTCGGCTTCGTCCAACAGTCCGCCTAAATGCGCGGTTAAGGCATCACTCCAAAATGTATCCGACGCCGGATCTAATCCAAACGGCGCCAACGCTTCGACGAATCCTTTGGTTCCTCCCGCCGAGAGCAAATCCAACAACTTCTCTTCGAAACCTTCCGGTTGCTTGGCGTATACCCCGTATAAGGCCCCGACGACTAAATCGGCAAACGCGTAAGAGTAGACGTAAAAAGGCACGTTGTGGAAGTGCGAAACGTACGCCCACAAATGCGAAGTGTCTTTGTACGAATCATACACGTCGCCTTCCTCCCCGTAGTAATCAACCATGCACTCCTTCCACGCCTCGGTCATTTCCTCCGGCGTCACTTGGCCGTTTTGTCGTTTTTCGTGCACTTTTGCCTCAAACGCGTCAAACGAGCACTGACGAACGACGGAGTTGATGATATCGTCGCACTTACCCATGATCATTTGTAATCGATCTTGGTCCGACGGAGCTCTCTCCAACAAGTCTCTGAAGACAATCATTTCGCCGAAAATCGACGCCGTTTCAGCCAAGGTGAGAGGAGGGTGATACTGAAGGATACCTTGCTGATAACTCAAAATAAAATGCACGCCGTGTCCGGATTCGTGCGCCAAAGTTGCAACGTCTCTTTGGGTTCCAGTGAAGTTCAACAATTGGAACGGACCACACCCATAGGAGGACGAACAGTACGCGCCGCCTCGTTTTCCATCCGCCGCCGGGACATCGATTCTCTTGCTTTCGACCATGTCGGTGAAATGTTTTGCCATCGTCGGCGAAAACTTCTCGTATCCGTCTTTGCAAATCTGCACCGCTTGTTCCCAGCTGTACGAATCAGACCCGGTGCCGATATCGATAGTCGCGTTGCGATCGGCCCAAGTAAACTCCTCCAACCCTTGGGTCTCTTTCAAAATACCCTTCTTCAATCGATAATACTTCTTGCACAAATCCACGCCAGTCGTTTTCACCGCCGTCAACAAAGAGTCCACGGCTTCATCGGGAACATTATTCGAGACATTTCTTTGCGAACGCAAATTCTTAAACCCTCTCTCCGTGTTTTCGATGTGCCAGCTCCCGGCCACCATGTTCAAACTCAACGCGCACGTTCTCTCAAACTTTACCAATCCTTCGTTCAAAATGTTCATGCACTCCCGCCTCGTCTTCGTGTCTTTACTCGAAGTCATCTTCGCCAACAAAACCTCCATGTTCACCTCCTTCGTTTCTCCGCTCTCGTCGTCTTTCATGGGAAAACGTAAACGACTCAACTCGTTGCCGTAAAATTCAACCACTTGCCTCTTCCCGGCGAAAGCCGATCTCACCGTCAACGCGCGTTCCACCTCTTTGGAAAGATTATACGGTTTCGACCGTCTCTCTTCCTCGATGAACGCTTTATACTTCGTTTTCAACTTTCCGTCGTGTAAAAGGTATTGTTTTTCGACGTCGTCCTCCTCCAAGTTCGCAATCTCCAACGAGAACCACTGTAAAAAATTCCCTTGAAAGGACCCGTACCGTTGCATCAGTTGCGCTTTTCTTTGCTGCATCTTCGCATCTTCCAATCTCGTATCCGACGCCAACGAAACGTACGACAACGCTCTCGTCAACTTAATATCGATTTCCTCAAACATCTCGATCGCTTCCAACAACAAATTATTTTCACCCGCTTTCAACTTCCCCTCGTATTTCGCTTTGAACTCTTTACATTGCGTCTCGATCGCATCCATCTCGCGATCGATTTTACCGTCGTTCGGGGAATCGTACTCGAAGTGTCTCTCGAGTTCCCATCGAGGCTGAGACGCGATTTCTTCCGGCGTCATCGATGATGTTTTTGCTTCTTTTGCACTCGAAGCAGCACCGGCGACTGTTACTGCGCGAGAAGAAGAAGAAGAAGAAGAATACGAGGAGGACGCTTTAAAAAAGCTGAGTTGTTTCGTAAAAGTATTCCGTAAAAGGTGATGACGAGAACTCTTTGGTTGTTGTTGTGACGTCAAACACCACCAACGACCGAAACCGAAAGATGAGTTTTTGGATGATTTCGAGGACATCGTCGTCGTCGCTTTCACAGACGTCGTCGTCGAGAATTGGTTTTGTCCTTTTGGCGTGGAGAAGACGACATTAAAAACCCTCCTCGAAGCAGCAGAGAAAGCAGTTTTCTTCATCGTCGTCGTCTTCAAAGCTTCGTTGAAAGAGGAAGAGGAAGAAGAAGACAAAGAGGTGGATGAAATCGCGTGGTTCATGTTCGCTTCGTGTGAATCTCTCTTTTCTGTCTTTTGACGAAAAAAAAAAAAAATTTCTTTGTGGCTGTCGAAAAACAAAAAAAAAAGGCGAGAGAGATTTTTACGCGAAGACCCTAAACTCGAGCAAAAAAGTAGCAAAAGGACGAGCGTTTTTTTTTCTCGCTCGAGAGCGAAAACAAATCTCTTCTCAGAAGAGCGCGGCGCGTTGGTGCGACGATGAGAACGAGAAGAAGAAGAAGAAGAAGAAGAAGAAGACGCGATGAAAGGAGTCGTTGTTTTATGCTTTTCGTGGTGGTATTCTCCTCGTCGCTCTTCTTCTTTTTCTTCGACGAAAGTAACTTTGAACGCGTGCGAAGCGCTTTTGCCCCCGGGGAAGATGACGATGATGCGACAAAAATGATTTCTTTCGTCTCGTTCCCGGGGGTGGTTTTGGTGGAGGCTGCGGACGCAGCGCAGGAGGTGGGAAAAAGGAGCACGAGTGGGAGCGCTGCTACCATCAACGAAGGGACGAATTCAATCGTGAATTTCCACCGGCACCACCGAGAGGTGAGGAAACGTTTGCGAGAAAGGAAGATGACGACGAAAGGACAACAAGAGGACCAGCGAAAAAAAGTGGATTCTTCTTTGTCTTTGTCTTTGTCTTCTTCGTCGTCGTCGGAGAGGAAAGAGGAGAAGAACAAGAATTTCGAAAACAACGAAAACAATCTAGGCGTGGAAGAAAACGTGGGAAAAGAAGAGGAGACTTCGAACGACGCGAACGTCGTCCTCGTCACCGCCGGGGTCAACAAAGAAGAAGACAAAGACAAAGGAAAAAACAAAGAAGCAGAGGAGAACAAAAAATTAACCTCTCTCTTCAAAGAGATCAGCGCGCGACGCAGACAGGAAATCTTAGCCGCGATGACTGATTTTGCAAAGACGGAAGCGGAGAAGAACGGGGAAACGTTCGCGGACGTGCGACCGGAATTGGGCAAGACGCCGGCGGCGCTCGAAGAAGAGAAGAAGATGAAAGAGTACGCGAAAGATCCTTCGCTCGAACGGAAGGTGATGATTGAGAAAATTAAGGAGGAGGATCCGATGAATCCAAACGTACATGCACCAATACGAACGGACGAAGATTCAATCGTTAGAATTGACTACGGGACGTACGATTCGTGCGACACGTGCGAGTTGTGTCATTTAGGAGACGCGCCGGTGGACGGCGTGGAGGTGAATAAGCACCAAGAGATTCGAGGTAATCCAGGCGTGAGCAAAGAGGATATGGAGGATGAAAGTAACGCGAAAAAGCCGGTACACTGCAAAGAATGTTACGGGTGCAACGTGCGCCTCTCTCGGATCATAAAACGCGCGGAGTTTAAAGGAAAATCGGTCCAAGTCTTCAGCGGCGCGAGCGGCGCCGCGATTTTGAAAGGGAAAATTTTGAAGAAAGATTTTCTACTCTCCGACGACAACGACTTTAAGAAGAACAACGATGAAGACGACGATAAAAAAGACAAAATCAGCGCTGGCGTCAATCACCACGAAGAGTTAGAAGAAGCGGACGCGGAGATGACCGTGTTTGTGAAGGCGTGGTGTAACTTTGGCAAATACGCTCAAACGCCGGACAATCCAAAGTCGGGCGTGCCGTCCAAATGTAGCGATTACGATAAAATTAATTTAAGCAAATACGGAGGTAAATGTCACGTCCAAGGAGGACGATACAGATTCGGAGACTGTAACTTTAAGTTCATCTCTTCTTTGGATAAACTCGCCCACGCGGCGAATTTATCCTCCGTCGTTCCTCGATCTTGGACCGTCGAGGTGAAATCGTTCTTGCCGTGGGACGGCTTCTCCACGGGCGGACACAAATTGCAAAAAGGTGTCAGAGCGCAATTCTACGAGAAAGCCCCGGGCGTGTCTATCGAAGCCGTTCTGGGTACTTTAGATCCGACGGTTAACTTTGGCGCGTTCAAAAATATCTCCCACGATAACGTTATTCGCGCGGCGACGTTTGATTTGCTCTTCTCCGAATCCGACCGCCACGGTCAAAACGTCTTTTTCAGCGACGAAGGCGAAATTACTTTGATCGATAGCGAAGGCGCCTTCGGCGAATCGAACACCATGCTCCTTCCGGGTCATCAAAAATACGAAATCAATCGAATTGGATTCTCGGCCATAGTCGGGTGCGGGCAAAATTGTCCGGGCGAGCCGAAACCGTCGGTCAGCCCGATGGCCACTTTAGATTACCGATGCCACGTCCCTCGCCAATACGTCGGTTTCGAGTTCCCATCCGGCGTGGAACCTTTTTTGAAAAGAATTCAGAGCATGTCCGCAAAATCCGTCGTCGAAGAGTTCAAAATGACCCGAGAAGAACACGCAAATCACTTGAAAAGAACCGTGGACGAAATGCTCTCTCTCGGTTTCGAAGGCGCCATGCTCTCCGCGCTCTCTCGCCAACGAGGCGGAAACGGCTACCCGATCGGCAAATATGGCTTACAATATTGGTACCCAATCACTAAAGCGTGCTGCGGCCTCGAAACGTGCCCGATACACACCACTCGCATGAAAGAAAAGAACATCCGAGACGATCTCGTGACGTTGAAAAAAGACGACCCGGGCGTCGAGGCGACGACGCTCTGGGGCGACCGGTACGAAGCGCACGCGACGACGTCTCCAGAACTCGGATTGGAAAGATTGAAGACGAAGGTTTTGTCCTCCTCCAAATCGTCGGCGTAAAATTGTCTTCATCGTAGTAAAGTTTTTTTAGTTAGTTCGCAGAGAGAGAGAGAATACGAGAGCGATAGCGCAGAGAGCAAAGAGTTGTTGTATACGTTTCACCACCATTTCTTTCTTTCAAAATCTCTTCCTAATTTTTATCCTCATTTTTGTCTCAAAAGCAAAAAAAAGAAGAAAAACAATAGACTGTAATGTTTGGCGCGACAGCTGCGACGACGACCTCTTCTGCCTGCGCTCAAAGCGCGCGACAGAGTTCGAGAGTCCTTTCGTCTTCGCTGACGAGCAGCAGCTCGACGTCGTCGTCGTCGGAATCCTCGTTATTGTTCTCGTCGTTAAGAAATACTCATCGTCACCGGCAGAGGAACGCGTCGTCACCGTCTTCGTCGTCATCATCATCGAAGAAAGGAAATGTAATCTTAACCTCGGCAAAACTGGCATTAATCCCGTCCTATTCCAACCTCCCGCACCCGGCGAAAACGGCGAAAGGCGGCGAAGACGCGTGGTTTATCAAACCGGACGTGAAAGGTGGAGGGGTAATCGGCGTCGCGGACGGGGTTGGTGGATTTGGCGATCAAGGCGTGGACCCGGGGTTGTACGCCAGAGTGTTGGCGTTTGAGTGTTTGAAAGCGCACCAAGTGTCCACGAATCCGTTGTTTGGCGGAAGCGATCCCAAAGCGATGATTTTGCAAGCGCAAAAGGAGACGAAATTACCCGGGGCGTCCACGTTGTGCGTGGTGGAGATTGATAAGAGCGGGCAGTTGCGCGCCGCGAACGTCGGCGATAGCGGGTTTAAGGTTATCCGAGGAGGGGAGGTGGTTTTTGAAAGCACCCCGAGTCAGCATTATTTTAACTGTCCGTTCCAGTTGGGATACATGCCGTTGAGCGCGGACGCGGACGATGCGAACGAGTGCGCGGAGCAGTACTCGTTTAAAGCGATGGAAGGGGACGTCATCGTCGTGGCGAGCGACGGCGTGTTTGATAACGTATTCAACGAAGAGTTGGTCAGAGTGGTCGGGAACAGTTGCAGTCAAGGTTTGTCCTACGAATCGATGGCAAAATGTGCGGAAGACATTGTTCTCGTGTCTAGGGCGCACGCGGAGGATAAGACGTACGCGTCGCCGTATTCTTTGGAGGCGGAGAAGTACGCCAAGGAAACCGGGACGAAAGTGAAAGTGCCGAGCGGCGGCGGCGGCGGTTTGTTTGGAGGATTGAACAAGATGATGGGCAAAGGTGGAGGTGGAGGAGGGAAGATGGACGATATCACGGTAGTGTGTGCGTTCGTCGGACCGACGGCGGAGGCGCAAGGAGAGATTATGAAATCAGTCCAGTTAGCGGCTGGGTTGTACGACGATTTGATGCAAGCGAGGAATAAAGCGAAAGGAGAAGAAGCGAAGACCTTGAGAACGGTACAGTTGAGGAAACAGATGGACGAAGCGTTCGAAGAGTCGAAAGCGAAAGCGGATATGGCGAAAAAGCAGGAAGCGGCGGCGCCGTCGGAGTTTTCGAAGGCGCAAATCGACGCCATGGATTCAGCCACCGTGAGACGGTTGTTGCAAGAGAGAGGCTTGCCGACGAGCGGGAAGTTGGAGCGGTTGAAAGAGCGCTTGGCCGGCGTCAAACGCATGTGAGTGAGAGAGACTGTGTGTGAATAAAAGTGCCTTTTGCTCGTATTTATTATCGTGTCCATTTTGTTTTATATACATATTGGTATGCACCAGAGTAGTACTTTTTCTTCGCAATAGAGTAGTACTATCTTCGCAATCTCTTCCTTTTGTCATCAAATGATCGTAATGGATCCGCCGTTTATACTCACTTGTTCAAGAAACACAAGGGCAACGGTCGCCGCGTACGTGCCAGAAATCGCCCCAAACGCCTCTGATTCCCCACCCGTCGGTGTGAACTGTCCCAAAACGTTCTGGAGACCACCGCCACCAATAATTTCAGGTCCAATCGGTCCTTGTTGCAGAAGTACACGTCGTCTTCGGCGTTGGCCGTCGCCGCTATCAACACACAAACCATCGCCGTTTTCACATGAAGCCGTATCGGGGCTGTACGAATCTTTCCGAGCGCGAACAGTGTCGTTCATAGAAATCGGTTTCACATACTGCGATAGTTCTGTAACGTTGATTGTTGACGATCCATCGTCGCCGCTTTGCGCCTCGACTGATCCATCGCTTTCCGCGCCTCGGATATTTTCGCTTTGAATGGCATTCACGGTATCAACGATTTCTGTAACCGCTCCGACAATTTCAGTCGCGTCATTAATCGCCTCAGCAATCGCCAAGCCTTTGCTCGCAGATCCCGCGATTGCGTTAGCCGTCTCCCACGTAGAAGCAACATCAATCGCAGCATCGTAACCGTGTAAAACGACTTGTCCGGTCCATTCAACTTCACTGGCGACTTCAGCCGCCGTAGTACCGCGACCGGGTTCTGCGACGCCAACAAGTGCAACGATAATTTCAATTTCAATACGAATTTGAGGATCAACGATGGTTTCTTCGAGAAGCGCGAGAAAATTATCTCTGATGGAAATCGGTAACGCATTGGGAAACGAATCAAACCATTCAGTCGTGAGGGCTTCCACGTCGTCGAACGTTACGTTTCCTTTCCTGGCATCGTCACCATTCTCGTCTTCGTCGTTCACAATTTCTTGCAAACGTCTTCGTTTTTCTTCGTCGTTAAAAAAGGATGGATGCTGGGAGTGGTCGTTTTGTTTTCGCGCCTGATGTCTGTTCAGCGTGTGTTGCGCAGCCGCTTTTTCGAGAAATTTAGGCACCTTGACCCTCTCATGAACGAGAATTTTCTGCACGTTCTCTGGCATCTTTCTCTTCTTCAAATCATCTTTAGTGAGCTGCTGCAACTTCCGTCTTTGGCCAACATTTTCTTCTTCTTCTTCTTCTTCTCCTTTTTGATCGCCTTTATGAAACATCGTCGTGTTCGTACAGTTTGAAAAATCATTCAAACTCTGCGCCGTCTCGCTCGCCATCTCTGTCCCATCGTCATGATAAAACGTCTCGTTGAAATGATAAAACGTTCCGTTTGTATCGCTGTGACACTCCATGAGTTCTTCTTTGAGCTCGTTAAACGGGTTCGGTTTCAAAAACTGCGCAATCGCCGCCGCCGCGTCGCCCGTCACCTCAAAACCAACCCCGAAAAACTGTTCGAGTCCGAACGCTCCGCCTACCACGAACTCGCTCGCCTTTGAGCTCGTAAATATGCTCTCGCCATCAATTACCCATTCGTTTCCGATGGAGCTCGAACTCGACACGCCTTGCGAGTAATCTTGCACGACCCCTGCCGCTAAAGATGCGAACACGTTCGAGAACCGCGTGAGCGCCAACTCCGTGTTCAATACCATTTGAAGAAACCCAGCAGTTGGATTGTTCAGAGCTGCGTTCTGGATTATGAGAAGCGCAATCCTTAAAATCGTCGTCGGCTGTATGATCGGGTTCCACACGGACGCTCTCGCCATTGGTCCACTTTGTGCAGTCACCCCATCGTTGGTTTCGGTTTCTTCTTGCAACAACGCGCGCCTCGACGACGACGAAGACACCGACGACGACGCCTCGAACAGAGAAGAAAGAAAACTCCCGGGGCTGCTGCTTGCGATATCATCTCGCGAACTTTGGTGGTCGAACGCGACGAGGCAACCGAGAAGCGTCCAAGAGAGCACGAGCGCGAGAAAGATTTGCGATTTGAACAGTTTTGTCGATGGTGAATGAAACATCGTGAAGTCGTATTCGAGCAAGCGTGCGTGCGCGAATGAATGTGTTGTGTTGCTCTCTCTCCGCGTATTTTTTTTTTCAATTGCGTGTTAAATTTTGCCTCGATTACAACAAGATGTAAAATGTCTCTCTCTTTCTTTCTCTTTCTTTCTTCATCTCTCTCTCTCTCTCTCTCTCTCTCTCTCTCTCTCTCTCTCTCTCTCTCTCTCTCTCTCTCTCTCTCTCTTCTCCCATTCCTTTCTAGCGCACCGTCTGCAAGGCGAAAGGTGTTTTACTCTTGCATTTGCTCATCCGCTTGCCCCGCGGGTGCGGTCGCGACCACGCGTTCTTTCAACTCGCTCTCCGTCGTCTTTTCAAACTGCGGCGTCAACTCTTCCTCTTTCTTCTTCTTTGAACCGAGTTCGCGTTGTTCCGGAGACTCCCAGTGTTGGAACAACGCGAGAATGTCCACGAGACTGACGCATCCGATGGGTTTTCTATCGTCGTCGACGACCCAGATTCTGTGCACCGCGCCCGTGCTCATAAGCTCCAAAACGTCTTCGAGTTTGTCTTCGAGTTTGCAATAGACTCTCCATGCATCGTAGAGAGGATTTTGAAGAGCGGCGTCGAACGCGTCTGCGCCGGCAAACACGCCGTGGGTTATCTTTGGTAACGCGTTGTGACGAAGGAAGAGAAATTGGGAAACCGATAAACCGAGCGCCATGGCAAAATCTGGATCGGCAAAGTAGGAGATATCAGTCTCCGAAAAGGCACCGAGAAGCTTTCCGTCTTTTTCACTCACGATGGCCACGGCTGAGACCGAATTGTTACGCATAACCCGGAATGCATCAATGCACGACGTCGAAGGCGTGACTGATACGATACCGTACGTGGAGACTGGCTTTTGGTCCGAAACGTTCGCTTCGGTGACGCCTCCTCCCTCCACGCGTCTCGACAACGCCGATCTCCCCAAACCGAGATCGGCGAGAGACGCGCCCATGAACTCGGGGTAAATCAAGCTCCTGTTCGTGTGCAAATACATCACCAGATCCGACTGACAGACAATTTCCGTAATCTTATTCGTATCTGTCGTTTGCACGGCGAATCTGTGGACGGCTTGCAACAACTCCCCGTCTCCCGGTTTCGCTTTCGGCGAAATCAAAAAGCAGTCGTTGATTGTCTGCGCCAAGTTCTTGTCGCACTGGTTCTCAAAGATCACCGTCCCGTCGAACCGGCTGGGAATAGTTTCCAACCTCGATTGCGCGAATTCTCTCCCCAATCTTGCCAACGCCGCGCACCGTCTCGATTGATCTGCGCCTTGCACGTCAAAATAAGGACTCGCGTCTACTTTCGCGACCAACGCGTCCACCAGATCGCCAGCGGCGAGGAAATTTTGCGGCTCGTAAAGTTGGTTACTCGGGTGCATCTTCACCACCGGCAACGCTTGCACCGAGAGCTCGCCCATGCGCTTCATCGCGTCCGAAGTCGTGTGCGTGGTTGAAAGAATGGACACTTGCGATCCTGAAAGTGAAAAAAGAAAGAGCGTGAGATTGACAACATCGCGCGTTTCCTACTCGCGTTGTTGCGTGTTGTTCCCGCCGAGAGAGAGAGAGAGAAAAATATCGAGAGCGGGTACCACACATAAATAAATAAATAAATATAAGACGTTAACGCGCACCTCTCGTCGGCTCCCCGCGCTCTTCTGCTTTCACCGCGAGTTCCTTTCGATCTCTCAGGTACACAGACAAAGGCGATTGCGACAAAAACTGGATCGGAGACGAGTAGCTTTGCGACATGTTTGTTCTTGTTTTTGTATCTATTTTTTCTTGTTTTGCGCGTATTTTTTTTGTGTGGTAAAATTCGAAAAAAAAACAGTTTCAGAGCAGTTCTCTCCTCAGTGCTTTTGTTGCATTGTGTTCGTTGCTCGCATCAACTACAACACAAACGAAGCGTCCTAATACTACTTCTTTCTAAAAAAAGTAACTACAACAACATCATCTACGTATTATTAAATTCTAGCAGTAAATCTATTCTCTCGTTTTCTACTCAGAACTCCCGAGGATGAGGGGGCGATGAGGGCGCCGCGTTTGCGTTGAAATACCGCATCGCTTTCTGCTTCATTTCCACGAGCTTTCGAACTTTAATGCGAGCGAATCGCAATCTTTCCGGCGTGGCGTCTTCCATTGCTCTTTGCACGGCGCGATGCATCTCGCGTTTTGCCTCGAGGAGTTCGTCCGCGACGGGAGATTCGGATACGGATGAGGAGTATGGGGAGGACTGCGGATTGCTATATTCGTCCGTGGCGGGATCGTACGAGGAACGAAAATGTGCCGACGGCGAGTAGAAATCTTCCAGGACGTCGTCGTCTTCGAGCATGACTTTGAACGAGACCGATTTTCTCGCCGCTCTCCTTTGGTTTTTGTGCACCTTTCGGCGCGAGTCGTTTACGTTTCCTAGGTGTGCTTCTTCCTTATCCTCATCCAAAGGACTTCGGTGATAGTAGGCGCTGAAATCGTCGTCGTCGCTCGATAAGTCTTCCGATCGCGCCGTCTTGTAACTGCTCGCTTGCGTCGAATTTGTCTTTGCTTCTGAAACCGGAGACGCCCCTGTTGAAGCCGGCGACTTTGCTCTTTGCTTCTTCAACGAAGAGCGAAGCGCAGTTGGTGACGACGCGTGCGTGGGAGACGGCGAGTTGAACTTTAACGTTCTGTTCGCGGCAGGTGTTGAGAACGTTTCAGCAGCTACTTCGAGCGGTACATCACTGTTCTTGCGCCAACTGGAAGAAGGCATCGTCGAAACGTCCTCGAGTATTTGCGTTTGACGTTCTCGCGCTGGAAAAGAAGGGGCTTCTCCGTTCGCGTCTACTTTTTCAGAAGGCACAAACGTCGAAACGCTAAAGAGTCCATTCCCATCCCCGTTTCCCCTTCCTCCTCCCGCGTGTCCTTTACGATCCTTCTTTCTCCAACGTTCCGCGTCAAATCGCGCGCACACGTCGCGTAAATAGTTACCCAAAAATCGCGCGTTTTCGTCGCTCGCGTTTAAGTATAGATTTTCGTACAACGCGTTCATGGCTAATCCTGAATCGTCGCGAAATAACATCGTGGACGCAATCTCTCTGCTTTCTGAAGACACCGGCGCACCATCGACGGATTGTAATCGTCTATTTTTTCCGAAAGCAAATGCGATCGCGGCGACGTGATCGTACTCGTAATGCTGCGACCGCAGCACGAGCGGATTATCCGCCACACAAACGTGCTCGAGACGTGGAAAGAAACATTCGTCGCCGAGGAACCGAAACTCGGCGACGACGGAAATATCGTTCGAGGAGAGGTCAATCGTCTCCAATCTTTCCATGTACCGCATCCTTTCTTGGGCTTTGGACAACGACGAAATCGCGTTATTCTTCAAATTTAAGCACTGTGCGTTAGCAAACAAACCAGTCGTCGTTAAATCTGGCACGTCCGGGCCTAACCCGTTATTCTCCAGAGAAACGTGCGTTAAATTGGGCAAAAGAATCGCCTTTTCTCCTCCCGTCGCCCTCTTCGCAAACAAATTCTCACGTTCAATCTCTTGAATCTCCTTTTCTTCTAGTTCGCCCCCGCCTAGCCACCCGCACGCGTCCAACTTCACGCGCTCTAACCTTTTCGGCAACACCGTCTCTCCTCTCCTCACGCTCTTCCCTATCCTCGTTTCGCTCGCGTCCAAATACTTTAGATTTTTGAACAAATGTAAATCCAGAATCCCGGTCAAGTGCTTGTTTTTTGACACATTCAAGCAGCGCACGTTCGATAGCAGCGAGTGGTTACGTCGCGAGTAGCTTTGCGGATATTTGGATGCATCGTTTGGAGACGAAAAAAAACGCACCGCGTCTCGGAACACGTTCCCGCTCACGTCTAAAATCTGAATTTTGCCAACACCTAACACGAACGAGGAGGACAAACTCTCGGGAATCTTTCGTAAACCGAGAGAAGCGAGTTGCAGACGCCCAGTTGCGATATTCGTATTGGCATCGTCGTTACTCGTGTTGTTGTTATTCTTGTTGTTATTATTTTTAAGCGCGCGATACCAATAGTCTTCCTCCTCCTCCTCGTCGTCGTCGTCGTTCTCCCTCGTCTTTCGTCGCGTTCTCATCATCATCGTCGTCGTCGTCGCTTTCAACGTCACAACGTCTCCACGCGCTCTGATTTCACCACCATCCCGCAACAACACCTCTGATTTTGCAAACGAACGTCATCGTTTGACTCGCTTCTCACACCACGCAGGAGGAGGTAAAGGAGAAGAAGAAGAAGAAGAAGAAGACGACAGTGCTTCTAAAATGACCTCCTTTTTACGCGCGCGCGCGTGTGTGTGTGCGTGCGTGCAATAATAATGAATCCCCAAAGAAGAAGAGAAAAAAAGAGAGCAGAGAGAGAGATGAGAGAGCAACCCCTACGCGCGAAAAAAACAAAAAAAAGGGGCGTCGTTTCTTCAAAAAAATTGTTTAGGGTTGCATCAAAAGAAAAAATGAAAGAAAAACCAACCGCACTCTCTCCACTGTAAAGTACACACTCCCAAAAAGCATCAGATATATCATCGATCTCACGCACTCACGCACGCACGCATCATCATCATCATCATCATGAGCAAAAGCTGCGCGGGAATGCTGGAGGAGATGCTGAAATGCGCGGAGCAGTCGAAATGTTATCTTTCTCGTTCTCGTTCTCGACGAGAAAACTCCAACTCGGAGGAAGGAGGAGGGAATGATGATGACGCGTTGGAGTTTTGCGTGAACGCGTTGATGAGGACAACAACAACAACCAACGACGACGACGACGACGACGAGAATAATAATAATAATAAGAATAATAAGAATAATAAGAATAAGAATCAAATAACAGAACTCGGGTTAGACGAGTGCGTGGTGAAGAAGCAGGTGTATTTGAAGTGCAAGAGAGGACAGATGGACATGCGGACGAGGATGCGCGGGAATAAAGGGTACTGATTTACGAGAAGAATAATGCGCGTTTGTAGTGTGTGTTTGAGTAGGAGTCCTAACGAGAGTTTTACTACGGAACGCGCGAAAAAGGCGTCACTCAAAAGAAGAGTCAAATTCGTCGCGAGGAAAAGCGTCAAAAACACCAGATCGTCGTTTCCGCCGAAAGATGATGTTGTTTCGCCTACGAAAGACACGCAGAGAGCGCGGACGATATCTTTCGATATACGCGCGGAGGAGGAGCGCGATGTACGAGCGGCTGCGGCGGCGTTGCGCGCGAGGTGTTTTCGAACGTCTTTCGAGGAGCGGTGGCGACGGCGACGGGGGAATGAGAGTAGCGACGAAAGAGACGAAGCGTCGTTGCGAAGGGCGTATTTTGAGAAATTGGTGCAAGATGAGTTGCATCAAGATGCGCTGCTTCCGGCGCGGACGGAGAGGATGGCGCTCGTCGTCCCTAGAAGCGCTTTCCTTTCTCAGTCTTTTTCTTCTTCTTCTTCTTCTTCTTTTGAAATAGAAGACGAATATTTAGTTGTCGAGCGAAGAGCAGATGAAATGGGAGAAGAAGAACACAAAGAAAACCAAGATGAAGATACCGCGCTCGTCGTGGTGGCGACGTTAGACTACGTCATCGCAGACAAACTTCAAGGCGAACTTTTATGCGGCGACAAAGGAAACGGACAATCGTTCGATAGCGAGAATTACGCTTTCAACGAAGCGACGCAAACGTACGAATTTATGCCGAAGACTATTGAAAGGGCCTATTGTTTCAACGTGTGCGTTCTTGGCTCGTACCGAGGCCAAGGATTTGCGCACAGATTGATTCGCGAAGCCGTTCGAAGAGTTGCGCTGAACTCGGTGAAATTTTTATACGTGCACGTAGAACTAAACAATGCGCCGGCGTTGCGCTGCTACGAATCGTTTGGATTTTTAGAGGAGAAGAAAGAGAGTGAGAGGGTGGCGGTAAAGTTAGGACGCCCGCCGCGGAAGTTGCTCTTCGTGACAGTCGCGCCTGTAGCCGAGGCATGTGCATAGTCGTTTAGTTGTAGGTGTTGTAGTAGTAGTAGTAGTAGTAGTACAGATGATTAGTTTAGAAAGTAATTAGAATTCCCTTTCTCTCGTCGTTCTTTACTTGGTCTGATAGGCTGAAAATCGGCTCGCTTCAAATTGTGCCTCTGGCTTCTGAGCGTCTTCTTCCGTCATGTATCTTGACGGCGAACCAACATTCCCGCGCCCGCCGGTACAATTCAGAGACTTTCTCGTGTTTACGCCCGTCGTCGGGTTCGTTCCAGTCGCGATTTTGCATAACTTCATTTGCATCGTATTATCCAGCAAAGCGTCCGAGAAATCGGCGTTCGTAATATTCGCTCCGTTCAAATCGGACGAAGTCAACACGACCCTCGCTAATATCGCATTCGTAAAATTCGCGTTCACAAACACGCCTCGATCCATCAACGCGTCGCTCAAATCTGCATCCGTAAAATCTGCGTTCGCCGCCACCGCTTTCATCAAATACGCGCCGTTCAGCTTCGCGCCGACCAATTTTGAGTCTCGCATCTCCGCTCCTGTAAAATTCGATAACCGTAAATCCGTGCCGTACTTTTCACTCACGTTCTCGGCTCTCAAGTCGTACCCGCCAAACTGTTGCGCGCTCCCTCTGTTGAACTCACCACCTTGATTGGCTTCTCGACTGTTCAATTCCGCGACCGCGAACGGAGGAGAAGGGATTATTCCGGACACAATCATAGCCGTCGCCACGGATAAAGCGCATTTTGCGCTCGTCGCGAAAATGGTGTTGCTTTCCCTCGCCGTCGTCGTCGTCATCCTCGTCTGACGACGACGAGAACGTGCTTTAGTATTCACCTTTGCTCCCGCTGTTCTTCTCGCGACGACGACGCGCTGCTCAACACGAACGCTTTTAGGGTGGTGGTGGTGCGTTCTCGCACGTAATAACGTCGTCGTCGTCGTCTGTGAGTGTGATGTCATCGTCGTCGTCGTCGTTTAAAAAAGAGGTTTTCCCGTGAGCGTGCGTTTTTAATCGTGACGGGAGCGTTGCGTGATGAGGAAAACGAGAGAAGAAAAGGAAACGAGTGATGAGAGTTTTTTTTCGCGCACGAAGAACACGAAGCGGCGAATGAGGTATTTTTGTGTGCGTTCGTTTAGAATACGACAAATAACATAATAATAATAACAATAATAATAATAATAATAAATAAGTAGTACCACTACCGGTACCAGCACCTATGTGCCAGTAGTACTTAAATGACGGAACCGTAAACATTCGAGTTAATTGACGACTGTTCGAGAAGCGCGTCGTCCTCGTCTCTCGACGAATGACTTTGACGGCGTCCGAAAAGACGCATCATCGCGCTCTTTCTTTCGCCTCCTTCGCTTCGCGCGGAAGGAGACACGGCGGCGAAAACAACCGAGGCGGTGAGGACTACAGTCGCGCAGAAACCAAACAGAAGCGTGGTAGTTTTCATCGTGGTGCTCGTTTTCATGTTCTCGCCGAGCTCTGCGTTTCTGAATTCGTCGATATCTTTCATGTTTCGTTTCTTCTTTTCGTTCGTGCTGTTTTCGCGGGATAATCCAAGAGTGGACGTCAAAGTGGCTGCTTTCGATGACGAGGCATCAGCGCCTTTGCATCCAAAAGTTGTGGTGTATTTTGCAGTTGCTACTGGATTACCGTTTACATCCGCGAGTAGCTTTTTGCGTTCCTCGCTCGTTTTCGCTTTGTACAAGAAAGGATTTACCGTGAGCTCGTAACTTCCCTCGCCGACGTTCCCGGGAAACTTGGCAACGAGAGACCCTTTACCGTCTCCGTTCATGCACACAAAGCTGAAGGTGTTTATTACAGCTTCCGCTGAAAATGAACCGACGTTTGAATCTATGTTCGATCCGTCGCAGGTTTTCACGTGTCTGATTTGATACGGCATCTGCGAAGGCGCAAGCTGCGGACATGCTAACGGTTCGCTGAAATCAACCTTGAAGACATCGTTCAAGATTGACGCATCTACAGCTAGCGGTTGGTTTACGTCGACTATTAAGTTCAAATTATCTTCAGTCGATGAGTATTTCACACCTGCTGCCGCGAACGAGTCGTAACCGGAGCAAAATACTTTTGCTCGAATTTCCCAAGTTCCGTCTCTCAAACCGTTCATGAAGTATTGATTTTCGATATTCCATGGCAATTTGCATCCTTGTCCGCGCGCAGTGTCGCATTGAACGTCCGCGTCGGACTTATCGTCGTTCCACGCGTTGATCCACTCGCCTTCGTTTAATTTCCTCCACTGGATGCGAACGAATTCAACGTTTTCGTGAACTAAGTGGTCGTATTTACCTTCTTGCGTCCCTTTGTCTTTGGTCCATAAATTCACCGGGTTGGGATTCAAAACGGTGTAATTCAAAACTGGCCACGACTGCGCGTGTACTTTTTTGTTCAAATATTTGTTCACGGTGGTTTCATCCCACTGCACCGGTGGACACTCTCGCTCCCATTTCATATCACCTAAATATGCGGTAGACGAAATTGGATCGCGATACATCCAATCGCTAGAAAATTCACACGCGGAAACGAGCATTACGCCAATATCCGTGTACTTGTCCGCAAAGACTCCTTTCGAAACTCGCATTGTCATTACGGTGTGAACTAAATCGCCATCATTATTTACGGAGTTGACAGAGTCCAGCGGCGTCATGCTCCCCAAAATTGAAAGGCCTCCCACATTGCTCACCGAAAACGATAAATCTCTCATGTTAGCACCATCGGCCCCTTTCCACGTCTCTCCAGTTGTGAGTACGAGACCGTAAGACATACCCTCTCTGTACGGTGATTCATTCGTGATTATGAGATCGTACAACGCGTCGTCTCCTGGTGGTATAAATTCGTTATTTACTCCAGGCGACCACTCAGTTTGAAGGATCATTCCAGATTCGCGCCACATCGTGTTTGGTTCTCCCGGACATTTCGAGGCACCTCCAATCGTTTTAAACGTTGGTGTGCCGAAGCGCTTATCCGTCGAGACACGGATTACAAATTTATCGTACGGGTCTGGATCACCTAGGGAATAGGAAGTTTCCAAACTCCCATACTTAGCCCACGCCACATTGCGTGTTGCCTCAGTTGTTGCCTGCACTTCAACATTACCATTATAGCCGGCTGATAAAACCGAAACACCGAATTCTCGCTCACCTTCAAATGCGAGGCCAGCTTCCAATGAAATACCCCAGCTATAATCTCCACCAGCAATATTGTCGTTCACACTCTGAGAAAATGATATACTGTGGCCGCCGCCGCTAAATGTTAAATAGATGTCAGCTTGTGGCCCACCTAATTTGGGTTCCGGGTGGTCATCCAGCGGTGAATACTCAGAAGACTTCGTTTTGGGGTTTTTCGCGAACGTAAAAGGCGCAGTGCTTCCATAAACTGAAGCGTCAATTAAATTTTCAGAGTCTGGAACGTCATCCATACCTCGAGAGTAAAAGCCGGGTTCATCTGGAGTGAGAGTTTTCATCCATGAATCTGCAGTCGTTGCCACGTCTCCTCCTTTTTCGTTCCCAAAAATGGAAGTAGCAGCATCTATCATCGTTTGAGCATAGTTCACCATATTTAGTGGATGACTATAAAGCGGAATCTCATCACCAGGAGTTAAAATAAAACTTGCAGTTTTAAGCATAGCTGCAACCGGCAAATCTTTCAACGTCGGCACTTTACCGCCTAAAGTCATTGCTTCCTTAAGTCCTGGCACGATAGATAAATATTTTTTGGGCCCTATTTCATCCCAAGTTTGTTGCACATCTTTCCATACATCCGTGTCATGAATGTCAGTACTCAAAGTCATACCTTCCGCAGGCCGTTTATATACCTCCTTCACCTTATCCTTCGATAGGGTCCCAAACACGCTTTCATCCGAACTGAGCGCGGCATTAATATCCTTCGACCACTTTAAGTCAATTCCTTTTAAGTATGCCTTTTGATCTTTATCTGATTTCGCTAAAAGTCCTTCAGGATGATAGTCTGGGGAAACCAACTCCAAAGTATATTTCCAGTCGCTGATCGATTGCTTCAAACGACCTTTCCAAATTTCTTTAATTTTCAAAACTTGCGGTATGTTTGTACTTTCTGAAATACTATCATCCGACATTAAAGAGTTCGGATCGTTTGCAACTTTGATCAAACCTTCGAGTTCCGGAATTACTCTAGTTTCTATCGTGAATATTGTCGATAAATATGTCGTCGGTTTACGCGGAAGCCATTGAACTTGAGGAACGACGGTTAAACATGATGGAGCCTTAGAGTCTTTGCTTTTACTTTTACTCAGGTAGTAAAATTCTTTCAAACCAATGCCTTCGGCGCCGTCTGCCGTAGCGATCTTGTACTCTTCGCTTGGTTCCGTCGGTTGTCCAAAGGTTTTATCACTTTTATCATAAGAGGAGCACTCTCCAGATTTCTTCTTCGGAGCGAAATATTCAACTCTGCACTGCTTCTTCTCTGCCACATCTTTCTGCGTTACTTTGAATTGAATAGAGTAACAGAAATCTTTCTTTTCTGCGTTTTTGAAATTGACAGTAGTAAAATAATGATTTGCTGTAGACATGCGTACCATCTTATCTTTCATGAATTTATACGCTTCGTGCGAGTAAGCAGCAGAACCATCGATACCATCACCGCGTGTTATAACAACATCAGGCTCTATGTCATCGGCATCCTTGCAGTCGAACCAATCGCTTTTTTGCTCACCTTCTGAAATTTCAGCTGGAAGTAATCGGATATCTACAACATCGGTCTTCACGTACACTATTTCAAAACCACCACCCAAGATTGTGTCGCCCGAGCGTCCAGGTATACCAGGATCAGCACTAGATTCGACATTGCGACTCAACGTCATGGAGAAGTCCCATCCATCATTGACATCAGAGTTTACACTAACTGATGGGCCATTGATGGAGAGACTTGCTCCTGTTTCGGTTTCAACTGTAATGGGGCCTTTGCCCCCTTCAGGTTTCCCTGCTTTTTCTTCTCCCAATTTTGGGATTGGGATTTTGGCAAAGTCAAGAACTTTTTTGTCCCCAACCTTCACTTTTCTTGTCCCAATTTTGACTTTTTCTTCTCCTACTTTCACTCTCTCCGTAATTTCGCGCGTTTCGAACTCTTGTTGACCGTGACCTCTTCTGTACTCGTGCCCACTCTCCTGCACCTTGTAACCCCCAAATCTTCCAAAATCTCCCTTTTCATTACTTTTACGAATGCTCGACGTTTTCTTGTTATCGAGATAAACTTTTTCCACTCTCTTTCGATCTTCATACACATCTCGCATTTCATAAATGGGTTCATCTTTGTGCACAGGTACTGACTTCATAATTGGCATCATTTTAAACCGCCGTCCTTCCGAGCTTTCTAACAAATGCCTCCTTCCTTGGTTTTCACCTAAGTCTGCACCCGCTTCATTGGGGTCAAGATCTATCAAAGCGTTGACATAACTAGATCCAGCATCAACTTTTGGCGTGAATTTAAGTTCTGATTCTATTCCGGCCTTGAAGCCGAAACCCATTGAACCAGTCGCTGCTCTTGTACTTGCAAGACTCAGCGCCAATGAAACTTCTGTTCCTTTAGAAATGGAGGCAACCGAATCGCCGCCGGGTGGATCGTGCACTACCGTGTACACTAATCCACGAACAGGGGCGGTGGCATAGAACTCAACGGCGCTTTGATATCGTGCACTCTTGTCATTTCCTCCACCGCGGACTTTTGACTGCATCGTGACAAGTTCTCGTTGAACTTCAAGATTTGTTACCGCCCAGCCGTCGTCACGCTGCAATCGCGCGAGTACCTTACGACGATATGGGGCGACCAAGTTAGGAATAGCACCGTCGGCGTCAATTGTATAAAATTTCGAAGAATCATCAACTTCGTGTTCTGTTGCATCACTTGCAGGCTGTTTGAAGTTCAAAAAGTGAGTCTCCGCGTCAACTTTTGAAAACACGCAGTCGTCCGACGGCAATGAACTCGAATGACACGGATTCTTGTCTCCTTCCGGTCCGATATCTTGTTGCAAACGAACGGTGACTTTAAGATTTTCTGACGTTGGAGACTCAAATGTCGAGCACGTGGAAATTTCGTCTTTCGACGTTAAGTGCGCCTCCATAACTCGCATGGACACGTATTTCTTATCTACCACGGGATTCTTTAGCTTAGAGTACATAGCATTCGTAATCCCTATGAGATTCTTTTCTCTCAAATCGTTGTTATTATCTCCGAGGCAAACATCATCCTTACTCGTTATGACATAAAATGGATCTTTAGCAGGATCCGGGTCTTGGGTGTCAATATCGTTCAAGTAAGGAGTAGCGCAAAACCATCCGTGATAGGCGTACTTTGCGTCGTCGTGAATGATGTCATTACTTTCTTCCTTCGGGTTGAGAAGCAAAAGCGTTCGAACCAGGGCGTCTCTATCTCGGAAAAATTGCATGATATCCGAACCTGGCGGTTTGCAAGACGCGCCGACAAATTTTTTACCGCCTTTCAAACCGTTACTACTTTCCCAATTCACGAGCTTCGTTTCCGTCAACGCGCTAACATCTGGCGCCTCGTCCAGTTGAATGTAATAATCCATCGCCGCATACGGCCACTTTCTTACGGTTGGACTGTTATATTTCGTAATCAGAGCGCTTTCTTTGAATTTAGGTAGTTCTAAGTCTGCATCAGTAATCGTGAAACTCGATCCGCATCCATTAGCGGGAGAGATGAGAAATGAGTACCCGGTGTATGTATCTTCGCAAGCACCTGCAAAGAGACCAAGGTCTATGATTCTTTCGGTCACGTCCATAAACACTATCGTTTCTCCACCAACAACTTCGTTCAAAACGAAAGACGTGGTATAGGCTGCTTCGTTTTTGCAGCTCGAATCTTGCATTGCATCATCGTATTTATTGCCGGCGTAGCATAACTTTCTATCCGTCCTTGGCTCAAACTCAGGTCCCGCGCCTTTTCTAGCTTTCGAGTCCGGCCCTCTGTAAGTTGCGACAAATTTCCAACTCGTGCCTGGTGTGGCCGCAAAGTTAAAAAATCCAAGATCGTCGGCATAGATGTAATCCCCCTCGTTAGCTACAACGCCATCGATTATCTCGTAAACGCTAATAACAGCGCGGGGTACCCCGCAAAGATACTCTTGCGTCCGCGAAGCTGGGAAACGCACGACTCCGTACACCAAAACAGACGTATCATCTGATATCACGCAACCTCCAGGTTTTAAATTTTCAATCAATGGCGTTGGCGAGCACGTATATTTCACTCTGCCCTTAGCGACTTTACCAAGGTGAGCTTGCGCCATAGAGGACATAGGGAAATCGTCATTCGAATCTTGCGTTAATTCATCCGTTCCTCTTTCCAAAGCTTCTTGCTCCTTTTCTTTATCATTGGGATCTTTATTAAAGATGTGAATAACGTCCGGTAATTGACGCATGGCGTGGATTTCAAACGTCGATTTGAATAAATTTTTCGCAATACCGTGGGTGGCGTCGGCAAAAAAGACGCGTTCGGAGAGATGGACGTGCTTCGTCAAAGAAACGTGCTCATTTCGATGCGTCGCGAACGGAATGACGTACTTTTTTGATTCTGGTACAGTTACCGGGCCCATTGCAGCTAAATTAGAACGCAACGACGTATCCGAAGACTTTGGTAAAGAGAGTGAAAATCCACTCGTTTCATTCGTTTGCGATTGGAGCCATTTTTGCCAGTTCTCTTGAGTAAACGGAAGTGCGAACTTTTGTGTAGGATGAAGCGCAAAGAGAGCATTGCTATCGCTTTTCGTACCTTCCACTTCAAATAGACTATGATATTCCGTTTCAATCGGCGGATACACCAACCATGGTGTTGCAAAAATAACATCTTGGTCGAGCGCGATGCGGACACTTCCAAATTCGTTTGCGTCCAACTCCCCGTCCTTATTTTGATCAATAGTAGACCAGAACTCATCAGATAGTATCATTCGAGCGTCGACATACTTTGTTCTGTTCATCGCGTAAGCGATGAATTCATTCTTATCGATATTTTTGCTGGAGTTATTTTGATTCACGAAATCAAAGTGTGGCGGCGGTGGTGACGGCGGCGGTGAAGGTGGTGGTGAAGGTGGCGGTGGGCTCGGTGGTGGTGGGCTCGGCGGTGGTGGGCTCGGCGGTGGTGGGCTCGGCGGTGGTGGACTTGGACTTGGAGGTGGTGGACTTGGAGGCGGCGGGCTCGGCGGCGGCGGGCTCGGCGGCGGCGGACTCGGCGGTGGTGGACTCGGCGGTGGCGGACTCGGCGGTGGGGGCGGCGGACTTGGAGGTGGTGGACTCGGCGGTGGTGGACTCGGCGGTGGGGGCGGCGGACTTGGAGGTGGTGGACTCGGCGGTGGTGGACTCGGTGGCGGCGCGCACGAGTGCGTGTTACACGACAAATACTTGGTATTGTAGTGATGCCAAGAGCTCCAACCTCCATTGACACTGTAAGCGTGGCCGTTATTCCAGCAGTGCGAGTAATAACAGTGCCATCCCCACCACCAATAACACGCTTTGTTGCAGTAATTATATCTGTATCTGTACTGTGGATGCCAGCGATAATTTTGTTTTTGCATGTAAGAACCTCCGCCACAACTTTTGCTGCAGCCGGTCGTCGTGTACCAATTGCTGAATCCGTAATAGTACACCGTCTGATAATGACTTGTTCCCGTATATACGGCATATCCGAGAGATGAAACATTCTGGTCGACGCTTGTGATGTTTGGAAGCAAAGCGTCCATATCAGTGGCAGTCATATTCGGAGACGGCGGAACGTACTCGTCCGGTAACTTGCCGTTTTCGTCGAGAGGAGGAGAAAAATCGAGAATGGCGGTTCCGTTAACCTCGATAACTTTTTTCTTTTTCATACTCTCGAGCGGTTTGTCCATTTTCAAGACTTTGTCGTCGTCGTGTACATCACCCAATAGTGCGTCGTTCTTCGGCGGCGGCGAAGGAGGTGGTGGCGGCGAGGGCGGCGAGTGCGCAACGGCAATCTCCTTGAATGCAGTCTTGTCAAGATCCAACGCCAGTAAAAACGATTCAGGAGCAGTATCTTGATTCACCGTAAGTAGAGTTTCGTCGGTAGGATCAAAAATTTTGACCATGTGCGCGAGAATCCCGAGATGCATAACTTTTGGCAAATTTGGCGTGAAATCGATGATTTCCATCTCGTAAAATCCATCCTCGTCGGTGAAAGTCGAATATGGGCAGTTTATTTTCACGCCTTGAGCTTCAATTTCTGCAACTTTCATTATATCGGTATTCACGGGGTTTTCCAAAGACTTCACAGTGATGAGCTGACCAGTATAAACTTTGACGTTCGTCCCCGAGCAAATGTAGCTTTGACCAGTCAGGTCGTATTTGCGCTCGAATAAAATCGAACCATCCGTTTCGTTACGTGCGAGGATACACTTCGAACCTGTATCACCAGCATCTTTTGGATCATCGTAATCTAAAACGCGAACGTCTAATACATGCAATTTCGTTCCTTCTGTCCAAACTTTTACACTTTCAATCGCAGAAAACGTGCTCAGCGTAATTTTCGCATACTCGCCTCCATTCAAAGAAACGGACGTGTCGAGTTGCGCATCCGTCGCTTGGTACGCCGTTTCGTTTACTTTCTTGTCCGACTTGTTGGAATGATCGACTTTCATAAATTCAGCGACATTTTCCTTCTTGGACATAGGAGGAACGATATCGGTCATCGCGGCGGATTTACTCACCGTTCTCACAAGATAGGCGCAGACGCGAACAAATTTTTGTGGTTTTCCCGTGGCGCCGACGGTAACTTCCCCGTCAACAGTCGCGTACCACGGGACAGTGTATAATAACGGGTCAGAAATTGCAGACTTGGCAGTTTTTGATTCCATTTTAGTCCGAATTGCGTAATCATACGTGATTCCAGGAGTTTGCATGGTTTGGTCGTCAAAAAACGTCAGCGACGCAAAGGTTGTCGCGCACAACTCCAAGGAAGACTCAATAAGAACAACCGCGGTGTAGTCTCCGTTTGGTTGCCCGCTCGCGTCTACTGTCCTTCGCAAAACTTCAAAACTTTTCTCATTTAATGCTGTGTCGCGAAATGAAAATGATAAACCCTTTCGACTCGGTATACCTTGCAAATCTATAACCGCTCCGTTGTAAAATAAGCCGGTAACGCACGGCGGCACGTAGTTATCGCTCATCTTGGCTGTGAAAGAAGGCATGATGCAATAAATTCGACGCGATTGCGGTCGACTCGCCGTAAGTTTTGAGCATGAAACAGAGCGACCGCAATCATGGATAGACTTGACGTGGTTGTCGGTCAAAACTCCGCGGTAGATGCGGAAATCATCGTATTCAGCCCTCAAATCAAGCACATTTACCGTGGGCGAAAACGTCGGATAATCGATATTGTTGTTCTCAACAATATTTGTCGAAGCTACATTCTTTCCGTTAAGAAAGAGTCGGAGTCCATGTTCTTTGTTCAAAACCATCGCAACGTGGTGCCAATTTCCCTCTTGAGTGCCGTAACTCAGTTGCGGTGGCGCAATGAGCTGTTGACCGTAATATTTTGCGGTCACTTGTCTCCCGCTAGTGATGCCGAAATATTTTTCGTATTTAGGATCTTGCTCTCGAGCGTACCAGATGTGAGCAACCGTTCCGAAATACACAGAATACAATCTAACCCACGTCATGACAGCAGACATTTGCATCGGCGGCTGATCGGTGAGCACGATGCCACCATGACCGCCCACCAGAGCGGTTCCGATGCGAGGATCGCAATAATCCCACCGTTTTTTTTCATTTGTAGTATAACACCAAATCGTAGACTCCCCCTCCCCCCCAGGATTACGACAATAGTTACTTTCTAAACCATCGTTGGGTTTCGATTGTGGAGTAATGTCTCCATGAGCATGCGGCGATTGCTTAGACCAAGACTGACACGTGTATCCTCCGCGGGTTTTAGTTTGGCAGCCTCGATAGCCTTTTCCATTTTCGCCACGGAGTGTCTCATCGCAATATGACCCCGCCGGTTTGTAAGGGTGATATATCGTTAAAGCACGTTTGAGGCACTTGAGTCCAGCACCGCACGAAGTTACACTTACACTAGCCCTAGCGACAAATTTATCTGTCTCAGATTTATCATCAAACGTAAGTTGCGAGACCAAACGGACGGCTTTAGATCCAACGCTTAAAGAGGGACGAATGTCTTCGATTGCTTTCCCTTTAGGCTCTGTCATATCCTTTCCCGGGATCTTTCGATACAATAAACCATCGGCATAGACGCAAGCAAAGTCTCTCTCAGTATTCAATTTAAGATTATAATCCCACTCCAAATCGAGTTTCTCGTTGTTCGCGGCACATTCTTCCTCCTGGGTATCCATGACTGGATAAGTTATTTTATTCACGACAACTTCCGGCACAGGATCTTTCGGAATGCACAAGAAAGGAAACGTGGGGGACAAGATCACCTGGCTTAATAACACGTCTTTAAATGAGCCCGTATTTTGCAGATGATTGAGATAGCTTATATCAACATCGTGCGACAAAAATGCACGCTCAATCTCATCAAACGATAATTTACCATCGAGTGGATACTTATCAAACTCACGGAACACTGCTTCGCGAGACGAGACTACGTCGTCGCAATTCGAAGCCAGAAACGTAGGACTGGAAAGCAAAAACTTGCGCGCGATTGTCGATATAACTGGATTGTTCGGAGTATTCACCGACGCGGGCGCCCAGTGTCCGCAGTCTTTAACAGCTTCAAATTCATGTAAAAGCTCGAATTTGTTTTTGGAAGTTTGCGGGACGATGGTACCGTCCGGATACTTCCAAAAGCAATGATGCCAGATTTGCATATGTCCAACAACTTTTTCGTTGTTTTCGTTCGTTAACGTGAGAGCAACTTTTCCAGCCCCAGACTTTTGGCTATCGAAGAAGTTATCCCATCTTAAGCAAGGGTACTTGCGGGCTTCTGATTTTGCGTACCCGCACGAAGAATCATCTTTCTTTTTAACGTACGCTTGGCAAACTAAGCCACGGTTGCTGTTCTCTGCGCGAGTCGAGTCGTCTCTGAAACAGTTCGACGGGTCATAGCAACCGTCGTCCGAGACGGAAATTTGAAAATCAAACTCATAATCCGTCAAAATTACGGGTTTTTGAGCGATGGAAACTTGAGGAGTGCCAGCACTCGCACCAGGCGGTGGTGGACTCGGCGGCGGTGGGCACGCGTGCCTGTTACAGCCAACGCTTCGAAACTGATACCAACCATAGCTACTACACGATCCAGAACTGGAATGCGAGTATTTATAATGATAGCTGCCCCATGTGCACCAGCTGCGATACCACCACCACCACCCCGAACTATAGCAGTTAAAGTCTTGGTATCGATGATAGTATACGTGAGTAGCACAATCTCGGTATTTCCTTCCGTCATATCTCCAACCATATGGGCCGCAAATTGCCGAGCACCCCCCCCAAGCATACCCCCATCCAGTGATTTCGCGATGCCAGTTCGTGTGAGAGTGGTATTGTCCTTGATAAATCCAAGCACCAAGAGCACTTGTTTCATTTTTACCAGCACCCAACATTGCCTCAGCTTCGGTCATGTTGTTAAACCTTGCGTCAAATTCTGCTCGAAACTCATCCTCGGTAATTTTCGACTCCGGAGGAACGTAATCCGAAGGTAAAGGACCGTTTTCATCCAAAGGTTCGATGCGATGCACATTTTTTGACATGTCAAATTTTTCAACAAAGTCACTTTTTCGAAATTCCACGAGCGGATCTTCAACTTTGAGAACCTCCAAAGACGAATCATCGACAAGATCGTTGTCGTCTTTGCCAAGCGCGACGATTTCGTCGTTTCCTTCGAAAACCGCCGCGTTTGCCGGGGCAAAAATCTCTCCCTTTCTGATAAATCCTTCGGAAAGGTCGTCCGTTTCCCCCGCGACTGCGGGTTCGACGGTAGTCGTCGACGACGGCATTTTCGTCATCGGTGCGCTCGAGTCGTTCGCGACGGACGACTTTGAACGTTTCGACGCGCTTTTCTTCTTCTCCTCTAAGGAAGAAGAAGACGAAGACGATAAAGACGCGCGTGTTTCGTTCTCGACGAAACCATCAATCTTGAACGAAGGAACGTTCGTTTCTTCGGCGCGGCTGCTTTTCGGTCTCGACGCTTCCACCGCCACCTCCGTTCTCCCCGCGACTGGAACAACGTAAAGAGTCGAAAGTACAAACGTCAAATATAGAGCCATCGCGAGAAGAACACCGCGACCAGCCGTAATCTTCTTCATCTTTATCTTCATCGTCCAAGATCCAACCTCCGCGAAACAGCGCGAGGAGTTCCTCGTCGATGATCGAAGAAAGAAGCAAGCGTTCGCAAGAAGAAAGCAAAGATGCGACTCAACTTTTTCCTTCGCCACCGAAGCGGTTTCTTCTTCTTCTTCTTCTTCTTCTTCTTCTCCTCCCTTTTCTTCTCAAAGATAACCCGTGCTATAACGTTGGATGAGTGAGAGATGAACAGAGTCAGTTTTTCGTTTCATTTTTTTCTCCCGTCAACTCAATACAAATATCTTCCCTCGGTGTTTTTAAAATGTGAAGAGAAGAAGAGAAATGAATGTAACACCCAAAAAACTGTCGAAAGCAAGACCGGAGAGAGAACGATGACGGAGGACAACAACCCATCCCACGAAAACAAAGGCGAGAGAAGCAAAGGTGACACAGAAAACATCAAAGCGCGAGAGAGAGAGAGAACAAACGCGAGAAAGATGACGACCGGAGTGAGTTTCCTCGTCGTCGTCGCGACGTTTTGTTTTTCATCTCTCTCATTTTCTCTCGCCGATCGATGACGAGAAAAACAATTTTCTGTTCAAATCCAATCGATCGCGAGTGGAAGAGATGCCCTCACCTTCTCCGTCTTCTTCTTCCGAAAAGTTTAAAACTGCGTTGGTGCGTGTAAGCGATGCGTATTGTATGCGCACGTGCGTTGCGCGTGCTCTTCTGTGTTGTTGTTAGAAGTGGAAACGTATCTCAAATCGCAAGAATATAAAAGTGAATTTTGTGTGGAAAGTAGAAGCCATAGTATTTATTAAATTGAACTTAAACACGTGATATTTTCATCGTAATTTTTAGTTGTTGTCGGTATCGGAAGGCGAAGACGGCGCTTCGGTTTGCCCTTTCGGCGCGCTTTCTGTTTCTTTCGTCACCGCGTGGAACTCTTCGTACACGCTCGCTTCGGCAGTGCTGATGATTTCCGCGTTCGCGATAATTTGTTTCAGTCCTTCTTCTTTAGCGAGAGAACCGTCGAGCATCGCAGCTTTGGCGGCGGAGATGTCGTCGCACGCCTTGGTGATTTCAGCCTGCTTGGTAGAGATGTGCTCGCGCAACGCTTCCATTTTCGCCTCCGCTTCTTCCGGGATCACGGTTGATGAAGACGAAGGAGTGCTGTCCGTGTTATCGATTTCTTCCTCGATCTCTTGGGTGATCCCGTCAATCTCCTCGCTTTCCTTTTCAATCTTCGGCGGCGACGCGACGGCGTCTTTAATCAGCGCTTGGGCTTTGTGCACCTTCGCCACCGCGTCGTCGACACTTCCCGTCGCTTTCGCGACATCATCATCGTCCTCGATCGTTGTCAAAATCTGAACCGCGTCCACGATTTCTTTGTGTTGCTCTTCGACTTCGCCTTTCCAATCGGTCATCTCGGTTTTCACTTCTTCAGACAACTCGTTTTCCTTTGCGATCAATTTCTCAACCTTTTCCTCGTCTTCTGTTTCTACGACTTCTTTTTCCTCGTGGTTTTCTGGTTTTGGCGCCGCGTCTTTGTCTTCATATTCTTCTTGCGCCTTCGCATCAGTCGAAACGTCGTTCACTTCGCCCAACTTTGTCGTTTCTTCTTCCCCGTGGGGGATTCCAACACCAAGACGATGACGATCCGAGGAAGACAAAGAAGAAGAGGAAAAGTGCACCGCGAAAAGTGCCGACGACACCACCACCACCAAAAACAACAACGCGAAGAACGCTTTCGAGGGGTGGTTTCTTCTCGTCGTCGTCGTCGTCGCTCGTTCTCCTCGCAGCAACAAAGGCTTCGATTCCTCCTCTTCCTCTTCCTCCGTCGTCGTCAACATTATTTTACTCATGCGCTCTCTCTGCTTTTTTTTTGTAACGTCGTTGTTGTTGTGTTGTCGTCGTGCTTCTTTTTAGTGTTGAAAAATTGATTTTTTTTGATTTTTTTTTTCAAAAAAAAAACAGGCGAGACACAAAAATTTCGCACGCACGAAAAAAGAACAGAAGAGAGCGAGAGAGAGATTCATCAGTCCTTGAGAATAATAATAATAACAACACATAAAATGTGGGTGATGCTTCCGATCGTGGGCGGGGCGGCGATCGCGAAGAAGATCACCACCACCTCGGCAAACGCGAATTCGAACGCGAGAGCAAGTTTTAATTTTGAGGACGACTTTGAAGAAGAAGGAGAAGGAGAAGGAGGAGAAGACGATGATTTTGAAAACGTGAAGAAGACGATTCAGACGACGACGAACGACAACAACGACGACGACGACGACAACAAAAGAAGAGGAAGACAACAAAAGCCACGAGTCGAAAGGTTGTTAGGCGAGAAGAAATCATCAATCGAGCAACTTCTGCCGTCCATTAACGTGGAGGAGATACTCTCGACTTTGAAGAAAGAAAACTTCGCGTTAGAGTGCGAACTTGGGATGATGTCCGCGACGCTGGAGGAGGAGACGTTGAGAGCGGACGCGCTGGAGGAGGATTTGAACGACACGCGGCAAACTTTACAAGCGGTGGTGGAACGAGACACGTTATCGGAGACGGGGAGGTTGCAAGATAAGTTGGCGCTGGCGCAAGATGAATTGATCTTGTTGAGCGCGACCGCGGAGGAGGAGTTTAAGAAGAACGACGAGTTACGAGAGGAGTTGAAGAGAGTGCAGAATACTTTAGACGAAGTCGTGAAGAGAGAGATGGCGACGGTGAGAGAGAACGAGGATTTGTTGAGACGGTCAAAGTTTGAAATCAACGAAGAGTTGATGATTCAAAATAGAAAAATCGAGACGCTCGCGCAAGCGAAAGAACAGTTGGAAGGGAAGTGCGCGACGTACGAGACGAGGATTGAAAAGGCGAAAATCGAATTCGAGGAAACTTTGAAGAAATATTCCGAGGCGAACAGAATCAATGTAGAGAAAATTCAGAAAGGAAAGGAGAAAGAGCTGGACGCGATGGGAAAGGAGTTGGAGGAGACGAAAGCGGAGTTGTTGAGAAGTTTGAACGTGATTGATGAACTTCGAGAAGAGCTAGTAATAACCGCGCGAGCGGTTGCGGAAAGAGGAGGCGGCGGGTCAACTAATACTACCGCGGACGACAGAGATAGAGAGTCAGAGCACGCGTTATACGTCGCAAATCTCGCCGAAACGATCGATGAGAAGGAAGACGAGATCCAGTCGTTATTGATGGAGATTTCCACCTCAAAGCGACGAGAGGAGTCTCTTCGCGAAAAAGTCGTCAGTTTATCCGCGGAGAAGGTTCAGCGGCAACAACGAGGGGGACACGCAAGAATGGAAGACTCTTTCGATGATTTATCGTCAACAATCGATGAAGAAATGTTGAAGACGGAGAGCTCTAAAGTTGCCAACTCGGCATCGAAAGCGTCTCCATCTGGCAGCGGCGGCAGTCCGACGACGAGAAGATTTGGTGGATTATTCGGACGCAATAATAATAATAATAACAATAATAATAATAACAACAACAACAACAGCACTAGCAGGAACAACAAAAAAATGAGCGGTAGTGATGATAGAGTAGGATCAAGGAACGTCTCACCTTCTCCGTTGTCAGCGTTTGCCAAAGATGCGAACGAGGCGCTTCTCACGCCGCCAATCTCAGCAATGACACCTCCAACGCCGCCAAATGTTGGAAGTAGCGCCACGAAAAGGACGAAAGCCGTTTTGCCGTCTGAAATGAAAGACATGCAACAAAAAGTTCAAGAATTAGTCGCGAAAGTTGACGGCGCGACGACGCCGCAAGGAATTAGCAACGCGTTGCGCGAGTTGGAGGAGTTGCAACAGAAATTATCGAATATTGAGTTTACTCCGGACAGTCCTTCTCCTCTTTCTTCTTCGACGAAAGGGGATGTGATGATGGTCACGCCTCCGCCGACGACGTCTTTCAGCGTGAACATGTCGCCCTCGCCGCCGCGTTCGACGCGAAAATCCGATGGTAAACAACAACAAAAGCATCAAAACCGATCGGTAGACGATCGTGATGAAAACACTCACGTCGTTTCGGCGTCGGTAGCGGCGGACCCGTCGTCATCGTCAACAAACAAAGAAACGACTTTAGCGGAACCGTGGCTAGGAAAATCTCCGACGGGTAAAATTAAGCCTCTCAAAAAATGCACCGCGTGCCAAACCGGTTTCCCGGAACCAGGAAAGCAGTTTTGCATGCATTGTTTGACGCCACCGAATAGGCGCGGTATCAATGAGGGAAATAACACGACGACGCCACCGAAAGAAGCCTTAGAAAAGAAAAAGAAGAAGATGAAAGTGATGAAGATGTTCTCGCCGAAAGGAAATAAATAAATTGTATTGAAAGTATTATAAACTAAAAGCATCTGCGCCTCTACCTCTCGCGTTGACGTAAACTAAACGTTCTTTGTTCCTGCCACCTTTTGCCCATCGGATGATTTCCAAACTTACGGTCGAAGACACCAAAAAGGATAACGAAGTATCCGTACACTTCGTCCAAGCGTACTTGGAATTTGCTCGATTCACTTCGACAATACCAACTTGATTATCACCCACGACACCGCATCGAATGGCAAAACCGGCTTCAATTTTCGGAATCATTGCTTTTGACGTCGTCGTCGGGCTTTCACTTTCGCTCTTTTTTGCAAACGGCGCATCGCCTTCCACGTGAACGATGATGTCAAATTTATTATTGTCTTTGGCCTCCTCGTCTTCGCCGCGACTCAAGAAATACGATTTCGTCCCGGGAAACCTCTCGTTTAATGCCATGGCGTTCGCATCGTTTTCGCATTCACTCAGGGTGAACATCGGATCGCCCACGAAGGCGCTCAAAAGTGGGTGTCGCGCTACTCTAGGTAAATTAATGTTTCGTGGGTCCGAAGCATCTCCTATCAGAGCAATTTCTGAAACGCCAATGGAGGCGAAACACGTCGCCAATGCAGCGGTTAAGATGCCCGAGCCTACGATGGCGATTTTACACCGCTTTCTGATATTTTCTACCGCATCAAAACCTGCGTGCTTCAAAATCGCATCTTTTGGATCGTCTTCCATCGCCACGTCTATGCCGTCCGTCGTGATTGTTTCGTATCCAGCCTCCTTTGTCTTTTCTCCTTCTGGTGCTGAGACGAAATCCTTCTCGACGTTTTTCACGCAATCGAAGATGTCCAAATGCGTCCACTGTTCTGCGCCCACTACGCTCGTTTTTGCGAGCGCGTCTTCTTCTTCTTTCTTTTTCTTATCAATATCTTCTTCATTTTCGCTCACGTTCAAGCTACTCATCACCATGTTCAAGTACGCCTCTCGTCTTCTCTTTACTATTTGAGTCACCGCAAACGTCGCCGTGTGCGCTACGAGAAGAGTCATCGGCAAGAACACGTTACTTCTACTACTAATACTCCTATTATCACCGGAATCTCGCTGTCGCACGACCGTCGACGACGCAGACGAGGACAAAAATTTATCTTTATTCTTATCTCCGGACCTTTCGCTGACTGCGTGCAACAACGGCGTCGCCTCGGGCGTCTTTTTCAGAAACTCCCAATGCAACGCCGCTCTCCGTTCTCTTCTCCGATTTTCGTCTTCGTCCACGTTTCCAGCTCCAGCTTCATCCAACGCATTTGCAAACAACGCGGTAAACTGCGGCCGCAACGCGTCGTACAAAGCTTTACTCGCGGTAGCTTTATCATCCCCGCTATTTTTTTCGGCTTCTTCGTCAACGTCATACCCGCTTCCGTCGTCTACGAATATCGTCCCAACCTCGCCGCCGCCACCACCACTACTACTATTCCTACCGCTATGACTAGTATTATTATCACTCCCATGGTGCTCTACGGTGCAATACACAAAAATGGGTCGTTGTTGCAGTTGTTGCCGCTGATGATCGAGACGACTCTCTTCTCCTCCTTTCCTCGATCGCAGTCGCTCGTTCGCGTTGCACGCGACCGATAACGGCCCGGCGCCGTCGCAGAAAAACAACACGTCGATTGGCGGCGGCGACGAAGGAGAAGAAGAAGAAGACAAAGAAGAGAAGAAAGAACAATCCTCCGCAACGTCGACGATGATACTCTCCTTCTTTTCCTCCCCCTCAGACGAAGACGCCAACACCAATCGAGCTCGCAACCGTCGACAGAGCGCGACGGATTTCCGGTCGCCGATATCGCTTTTTAGGAGTACCCCGCCGGAAAGCGCGACGTCTTTTTCCGTCACGAATGTATTAGTATCCACCAAATCCTCCTTTTCTTCCTCTTCTTCTTTCGAAAACGACGATTTCGCCGCGATGTTGTTGTTCAGCGCGGAGTCGCACAGCGTGATTCTCGTCACGAAACATCCCTCTTTTATCAGTGCTGACGATGATGATGATGATGATGATGATGATGATGATGATGATGATGATGATGACTTTGACTTGTCGTCTGAATCGTCGTTTCCATCATCTCCAGAAGAAGAAGAGGAAGACTTTTCGTTGTTTAACAACACGTTTTGAGGGAGGAGCAACAACGAGAGCTCTGTCGCCACGTTGACGCCGAGACCGTTCGCGAGGCCGCAGATGCACGCGTGCATAAAAGATGATGATGATGAGAGAGATGTGTGTGGTATTCCCCCCCCTCCTTTTTTTTGTGCAAACGCTGTTGTTTCTTTTCTTTTCTTTTTGAAAAAAGACGAAATTTTTTTTTTTGCTTTTTTGAATTTTTGTGTTTTGTTTCTACGAAGAAGAAGAAGAAAACAAAAGAAGAAGAAGAAGAAGAAGAAAACAAAAGAAGAAAACAAAAGAAGAAGAAGAAGAAGAAGAAATTCTTTTCATTATTTTCTTCTTCGCGTGGTGTAAACGAAGAAGTGATGCAAGGAAGTGGTGCGCTGTTGATACGACGCGCGCGTGACTTTTTCATCACAGGTGGTAATAAAAGTAGTTCTTTTTGTTCGACGACGACGAAAAAGACTTCCTCTTCGAAGAGCGGCGTCGTTTACGACCACCACCCTTTTGCGAGAAGAGGGAGAAGTTCTTTCTCCAGGAGCGCATCATCCGCGTCGTCGTCGGAATCCAACACCGACACGATGAAATTCACCATAACGTATAGTAAAAACTGAGACGGCGGCGGCCAAGAGTTTGAAGCGGCGAAAGCTGCCATCTTGGCCGTGGTGAAAAACGCGAACGTCGTTCCGAACAGAGTGGATAAGTATCCAATCACGGTGACCATCGAGGAGGAACAGTTAGGAATGATTTACAGCGGAAGGCAGCAAGGATTTTTCGGGAAAAACGGACGACCGGCGATGCGAGAGGTGGAGGAAGCGCTGAGGAGTAAGTTGTAGAGAGAAAGTAATACTAAAGCTTTATTACGACGACGTCAAACAACAACAACGCGAAAAAGGAGAAGAGCGAATAGTACGAGAAGAGTGAATCGCTCGGCGGAAATATTATACACACTGCCGAGTCGACGATAAAAACAAACACGTTACGCTCTCGGGTCTCTTCTTATCCAAAAGAAGAAGAAGAAGAAGAGGTTGCCTTTGACGCAGACGAAAAACAAATATACGAAGAGGAACAGAATAAGAATAAATAAGAATAATAACAACAATAATACCATTTAGGTAGTACCGTGGTATCTCAAGGACGAAGAACGAAACACGTAAACGTTTTGTGTGTGCGTATGAGTAGAGTTGTAAAAAGAATAGATGATATGTATATACACACAACAACAAATAAATATTGCTTCTACTCTGCATGCGCGCGTTTTTTTTTCCCAAGACTCTCTTCTTCTTTAATAACAGTCTTTCGATTCTTCCTCGTCGACGTCGATGTCGTCGCTTTTTTCCTCTTTGGCGTACTTGGAGAGTTTTAACACCGCGGTGTCGCGTTCGATGCGCATCTTTTCCAAGCGATCTTCCATGATTTCAACCTCTTCTCGCATCAACGAGCACTCTTCCACGATGGCGTTTCGAATTTCCGTCATGTCTCCGGCTTCTTCGAGTTCGTCTTCGAGTTCTTTAATTCTCGAGAGAGCGTCCGCGTTCGCAGGAGAAGCGTTGCTCGTTTCTGCCGCTGATGCGTTCTCGTTCAGTTCATCTAAAAGCATTTGCACTCTCTTTTCTAAACTATCGCTTTTATCCTCCGCGAGCGAGAGCATTTGTTTCGCGCGAATCGTTTGCATCTCGCTTTCAATCAAGTCTTCCTGCAAAGCTTCTTCGAGATGTTCCATCGCTTGCTCCAACGTTTCCGCTCGAACTGTCGCTTCTTCGAGTAAAAGTGTCGCGGAATCTTCGCTGTTCACGCGCTCAGTCAATGCCGCGATGGCGGCGTTCGCATCTTTCAAATCGTTTTCGAGCTCGGTTTTCTCTCTTCTCAACGATTCAGCGACTTCGTCCCGTTCCAATGTCAATTTCAGTATCGCCGATTCTCTCTCTTCGAGTTCTTTCTTCCACTTGGCGACATCGCTCGCTTGCGTTTTCAGCAACTCTTCTTTATCGAGTTCCAATGCGCTGATTTTCGTCTCCATTTCCCACTTGATGTTTTCCACGGTTTCCATATTTTCTTTGATTTTCTCGTTCAACAACTGCTCGTCTTTGATCGTTTCTTCCTTCAACTCTTGCGATTCAACTTTCAAAGCGTTCAAAGCGTTTTGCAACTCTTTCGATTTTGTTTGTTCCGTTTCTAAGAGTTGTTTTGTTTCCAACACAGTGTTCTCGCTCTTGGAAAGCTCATCGCTTCGTTTCTCGGCCACATCCTCCGCCTCCCTCAACGCGTTTTTCAACGTCGCCATCGTTTCTTCCTCTCGTTCCTTTAAACTCTCAATCTCGTCTCGTCTCGTCTCGTCTCTTTCCTCGAACGCGCTCTTCTCTCTTTCCAGCAAGTCGTTCATCTCTTTCTTCTCTTGCTCGACCTTGAACAACTCCTCTTCTCGTATTTCTTTTTCTCTTCGTAAATCCTCGGTTAACATTTCCACCTGTCGTTTCAATTCTTCTCTGTGTTCGCTCGATTCCAACCTCTCTTCGCCTCGTCTCTGTTCGGCGATTTTCGCTCGCGTCAATATGCGCTCGTTTTCCAATCGCAGCTTTTCGTTCGCTTTTTGTATGCGCGTGATTTCGTTGATGGACGACAACAAGTGTTCCGTTGGGTCTAAGTTGATATAAAAATCGTCGTCGTCGTCGTCGTCGTTGTCCTCCTTCTCCTCCTCCTCCTTCTCCTCCCTGTCATCATCATCAACCGCCGCAGGAAAAGATGAATCGAGCAAAGCCTGCCCTAACGTCGCTGCCGCTACCGCACTGTTACCATTATTATTATTATTATTATTATTATTATTATTATTATTATTATCGTTCTGCCGCACCATCGGTTCCGTCGCGTCCAAAAGCTCTCCGAACTGTAGAGCGTCGTCCCCCGCCTCCAACGCGACGCCGGACGACCACACATCGTCGCCGCTACTCTCGTCTTCAGTACTATTACTCCTACCACCACCACCGCTCCTACTCGACAGCGCCACCGCTCGTGGCAGAGAAGAAGAAGAAGAAGTGAGAGTTTTAGACTTCTTTTCTCTCTTCGCTTGCAAAGAAGGAAGAGATGCTTTCTTTGTTTTCTTCCTCGATGACGACGACGATGCTTTTGGTTGTTCCGATTTGGATGACGATGAAGAAGACGAAGCGCGTGCGTGTGCTGCTTTAGGAAGAAAGAAAGACGAAGACCTTCTCCGGTTGCTCTGCTGACTGGATGAAGATGTTGTTCTCGTCCCCAAAATCATCGTCGGCGTTTTCGTGAACGACGATCGGAGAAGAGTCTGTTCAGAAGGAGCGAGACTGCACAAAGACGACGCCGAGAGAGGAGTCATTTTTATCCTCGCATGCACGGCACAGCTTTTGAGCGTGTAGTTGATGGTGGTATTCAACCCCGCGTTGAGAGTGATGATTTGAGGACGGACCCTTTCTTGGATAAAATGTTGGATTTGATTTTTTGAATTTTTTCACTCTTTTCGTTTTACATGACGGCATACCGCGTAAAGAGTACGTACAAAACATTTTACCGCGGACGGCATCATCATCCATCATCGCTTCCGCTGCAAACGCGACGACGATGAAGAGATGATGTTTTGTTAAGCGCAACGCGCGTTTTGTTTGTCTTTGTGAATATATATATATATACATATGAATTTTATAATAATACGCAAAAGGCGGCTCTCGTTCGCGGGCGCTCTCGGGTTGTTCTCTTTAAAAAATATACACGGCAAGTGAAGAAGATCCTCCTCTCCAAAACTTGTCTTTGTCTTCTCGTTATTCGCTTTAATACTGTTGTTGTTGTCTTTCGTCGTCCGGCGTTTCTATAATCATCCCGAGGTCATCGTAGCTACTCTTTTTCTTTTGAGTATCGACTTCGTTTCTTTGCGGTGATTCTAGTGGTTGTTGCGCCGAGGCGAGCTGTTGCTGAATTTGAACGTGTTGCATTTGCATTTGCTGAATCTGTTGCAGCATGGCAGCATTCTTCGCGAAAGAAATTTGCTGCGCTTCCGCGACAGACATCAGCGCCGGCAATTGCAGCAGCTGCTGCTGCTGTAGCTGCTGCAAAAGCAGAAGCTGCTGCTGCTCCAACTCTCGCCGACGCTGCGCGAGGTAAAGCGCAGCGTGTTCCTGATTCACCGTCATCTGCGAAACCTGCTGCTGTGATACAAACTGTTCGTGGTTTTGCTGATACTGTCTTCGTTCCATGTTGACTGAATCGATGCTTCGTCGACGAAAGTCGAGTTGTGGTGATGATGATGGGTTTTTCGAATTTGCATGTACGAATTCCCACGAGTCCGATCGACTCTGTTGCAATCGTTGTTCTGGACTGCGTTGTTGTTGTTGTTGTTGAAGTTGAGCGAGTTGTTGATTCCACATCGCGACGGCCATGGGCGATTCCGGTCGATTTTGCTGTTGTTGTTGTTGTTGTTGTTGTTGTTGTTGTTGTTGTTGTTGCATCGTCGCCGTTGTCATCGTCGTCGTCATCGTTGCGAACTTGTTCGCCGTGGACATGTTGCTATTATAATTGTTATTACTATCGGCGTTAATATTATCGCTCGCGACGCTTCTTAACTCCTTCGCCTTGTGCGCAAAAAAACAAGCTTTTCTCGTGCACCCCAATCCATCTTTACACAACTGCGTGCGATACCGACTCGGATGTAACCAGCTCTCGAAAATGCCGTGCGCGTACGGACAGTTTGCCCCCCTCGGGCAAGAATACTCGTGGCTCCCTTTCCCTTTCGCGCGGCTCGTGGGTACTTTTTGATAATCCGCGCACGGGATCGCCGAGTACGAAAACATCTTCAAATCTCGCCTTCTGGCTATCTCCCCGCAATGCGCGTACGGGCACACCGTCCAATCGTGCGCGCAAGTTTTCGAACACGGCACTGTTTTTAATTCGTTGGTTGGAAGAGAAGAGAAAGAGAGGAAAAAAAATGTTTAGTTCGTTCGTTCGTTGGTTTACTCTGGTTGTTCTTTATAAGCACGAGAGAGAGAGAGAGATTTTTTGTTTGAAAAAAAGCGAGCGAGAGCCGCAAAAATCTCAGAAAAAAAATCGCGAGATTGCCTCCTGCCTGCCTCGAAAGAAAAGCTCCTCCTTCCTGTTTTTGGACCATCCGACGTACCGATTTTGAACGAAAACATGGCAAAATCGTCCCCGCTGTCTCGCAACGACCAAACTTTTTGCTGCCCTTTTCCGTTTTCAGGTTTCCAAATCGTTCCTTCTGTTTCTTCCTCTTCCTCGTCGCTGCCTCGTCGCGCTCGATGCTCCTGCAACGCCTTCAACGCCTTCATCTCTTTTTTTTTTTGGATTACACAGTCAGATTTCCAATATTATCCACCACCCGCGTGTTGTTGTAAATCAGAAATCACAAAACGAACGACAGAGAAGAAGAACAAAACTCTCTCTCTCTCTCTCTCGTCTCAAAAAAGACGGTGCGTTCGTGCGTTTTCGTCGCGCGTAAAAAGCAACGACACCCCCATTTATTATGAAACACAATAAACACAAGAAGTAAGCAACTACTTTAAGAAGAATGACGTTACGGAAAGAGAAAAAAACTCTCGTATTTGAGGAGTTTTCCACTCGCACTGTTTTTGACGAAAAAAAGCGAAGGAGACTAAAATTTTGGTCCGAAAGAAACAACGCAAAAGACAACAAAAAAGAGAAGAGATATTTAACGCACGAATGCGAGACGAATAGTAAATACGAGCGAGAGATGAACGCACAAACGCATCATCTTTCGCGCCGTGTGAACGGGAGGCTGCTTTCTCTCGAGTCGTCGTCGCTCGCGTCGTCGTCGTCGTCGTCCAAAAAAAAACAACCACCGCTCTTTGGAAGATTTGGAGGAAAGAAGGTGGAGGTGGTTCTGCCACCCTCGCGCGCTTTAGGAAGCGGGAGAACGACGATTTCGAAGAACACGAATGGAGGGAGACAGTATCCGTTCCCGGCGGATTACGACGTGATGGTCCAACAGGCAAGACAAGCGCTACAAAAAGCGAGAGAAGATGGCGTGGATTTAGGAGAAATCCAGTTCCCTCCGGGAGGACTTGATTTAGCGCCCGGCGACTTGGAAGGTAACGTAGAGTGTACGCTCACGGCGACGGTGTTGCGAAAGATTTTGCGCGGGATGAAAGAAGAAGAAAAAATTACCGTCTTGTTTCCAGACCCGACGGAATTGAAGTTGGCGAAAAGAGGACAGACTGGAATGTGCGCACCGGACGGCGTCGCGCCGCCGGAGGTTTTCCAAACAGACCCTCTCTTTGAGGATTGGAGAGGGGAATTGAATTATCTGGACGACCCGAATGCGTTTTCGGTGTCTGGTTTGGACAAAATTTTCGGTAAAAGCGCCACGGTAAACGATAGAGTAGATATCAACGAAGGCAACATGTTCGTGTGCGCGTACCCTTCGGGAAACATAGCGGAATTGACGCAAACGCGTTTATTGTACGAAAACATTCGAGAAGAAAACGAATCAGATGCGCCGGCGAGCAAAATAAAAACAAAGAGAAAATCTCTCGTCGTCGTCAATGGCGAACTCGATCGAACACGTTCAAACTATTACCCGTGGTTTTGGAATAAAAACGAAATGGAACCGTTGCGAGAGTTTTCGCAATCGTTCGAAGGAATATATTTCATCCACAACTTCAAAGGCACTAACCCGGCGGTTTTGTTCAGATGTTACCCGGACGATTGGAGAGTTTTTCGACGAAGGCCGAACGACGCGGTCGAGTGCGTTTGGTCCAGTTCGACTCGACCGAAAAGTTTAAAGGAAATCGCTTTGGACGTTTTGCCCAAGTTTCCGTAGAGTTTTCTTGTACTCGTACGTATTGAACGTCTCTCTTATTAAACTCTCTCGTATTTGCTCAAAATTTATTTCCTTTCAAAATTTGCCTGATGGCTCTTTTTCACTTTTTCCCACATTTTTGTTGCCACGTTTTCGTTGCTCAGACCTTTCCCGTTGCCGTTAGCCCTTCTTTATAGTGGCTTTGCAAAGGACGCAACGCAACGCGTTTGATTTCATCCCAAACATAAAAAACGTAACCATACGAGTATCATTGAAAGATTCAATTATACCTAGGAGTGTTTGGCTCTTCTCCGTTGATATAACCAGAGCCGCCTCTTTTTTAGAATTTTAATCGACTTTTGTACAATTGTGCGGGGAAACCAATAGTCGCACAATTTAAGTCATCGCACGAACGAGACAGAGAGAGAGTGAGAGACAGACAGAAAGAGAAAGACAGAAAGAGAGAGGATGAAAACGAGAAACACAACGACGACGACGACGACGACACTCGTCACCGAACAACACAAACAAGAACCTTCTTGGGGAGACTTTGTTGATGAGAAGGAGGAGGAGGAGAAAACATTCTCCTACGCAACGGGGGTTTCGCCCCGTGTCAAAAAAAGCGACCAAAAGACGACCCCCAAAAACAAAAAAAAAACACGAGCCACGACGACGACGACGACGACGAAAAAATTGACCACCACCACCAAAAACAACACCAAAAACACCGCCGACGCGTTGAACACCATTATACCCGAGTTTGAGTACACGCACACACAAACGAAAAATGCACTGGAGGATGGCCCGTCGTCTCCTTCTACTTCGGGGTATAATATAATACGATGGTCGTTACCGCACGCGGATTTTTACATCAACGAGCGATACTTGCCGAAGAAGAGCATAGGGATAGGCGCGTACGGGTGCGTGTGCGAAGCGGTAGACCTTTTTCTTCAACAACAGCAGCCGCAGCAGCAGCAGGAGAATAATGACGACAACAACAACAACAACAACAACAAAGGAAAACGAGTGGCGATAAAAAAGTTGTCGGATATTTTTCAGACGAGGTACGAGGCGAGGAGAGTGTTTTTGGAGATTGAGTTTATGAGGAGGACGAATCATAGGAACGTCGTCGGGTTGGTTGGTTTGGATGCGCTGCTTCAGAAGATGCTGTTGCCGAGAGATACGAGAAGGAGGAGGAGGAAGTCTTTTGGAGGAAGTGATGGCTACCGAACAGAAGAAGAAGAAGAAGAAGAAGAAGAAGAAGAAGAAGAAGAAGAAGAAAAGGAGGAAGACTTTGCGGACGTCTACTTGATCATGGAGCTCATGGATACGGATTTGAATCAAATCATCAAGTCCAATCAGACGCTTTTACGCGATCACGTGATCTATTTCTTGTATCAAACTCTTTTAGGTTTGAAACATATTCACGATTGCGGTATTTTACACCGAGATTTGAAACCGTCGAATTTATTGGTCAACGCAAACTGCGATTTGAAAATTTGCGACTTTGGATTATCGCGACGGGCAAAAATTGTTGATAACGATGAAGAGATTGATGATGATACGGTGATGACGCCGTCATCGTCGTATGAACGAATGGATGCCGCGAAATACTTGGTGCAGCGTACGTCTTCATGTTCCTCGTTTATGCCAATCGACAATCTCGCGGAAGACGTCAGAAAATTTGCCGAAGACGAAGAAGAAGCAAAATCGCGAGGAGCTGGCCAGGAACGCCCCGACGGAGGAATGACGGAATACGTAGTCACGAGATGGTATCGAGCGCCAGAGCTACTCGTTTCAAACTCGACGTACACGGAGAAAATTGATGTTTGGTCCGTTGGATGTATTCTCGGAGAGATGTTAAAGAGACAACCGCTCTTTCCGGGTTTCGATTACATCAAGCAACTGATCTTGATTGTGAATACGCTCGGCACGCCGTGCGAAAACGATATGGCCGAGGTAGAGTCTCTGAAGGCTCGGAAATTTATCAAGTCTTTGAACGACGGCGCGCCGATTCAGAAAATACCATTCGCGGCGATGTTTCCGCAAGTTGATCCGCTTACCATCGATTTACTCGAAAAAATGCTCGAATTTAATCCAAAGACTCGGATAAGCGTTACCGAGGCGCTTTATCATCCACTGTTCGACGGGTTGCGCGACGCTCACCAAATTCAGAAAGATTATCTCGATACGCATCAGTATCTCGCAAGCACCGTCAAGGTTCCAATCCCAAACTATGAGAGAAGTAAACCCCTGGATGTTGGGGTGTACAAACAGAAGATTATTGAGCAAATACGTTTGATGCAATCAAATGTAAACTGATTGTTCGAAAACAAAACAGCATGGAAAATAATACAACACATCAAAAGCTATAATACATCAAAAGCTATAATAATAATGACTATTAAGCGAATATAATACTGGTATGATTTAAAATATATGTCAATATGATAGTAGGTATGTACATGCGTACTTACTATGGTAATATGATTGAATTACTCATTTATGATAATACGAGTGCGTGTATCATGGCACTTATACCTATTGTAATATCAAAGGTAATAACACGCATTTTTTTACAACAACACAAATAATATTACGCACAACAACGTACTTATTTAAAACTCGCTCATTCTTTCATTTTCTCTTTCTAATGTCGATCGATATCGTCCAAGATGATTTGTGTCGACGGCGCCAACTTTCGCAAATACTTAAACACCCAAAATTTGAACAGGACGTCCATACCGACGGGAACTAACGCGGTAAATATCGAAATCGCCGCGTGGTTATCCGCGATGCCGTACTTTTCGCCCAGAGATTCTAAAACCGTATTCCACCCATCCGCACTGTGATATCCGACTAAAACATCGCTAGATAGAAGTAAGATGAACGCTTGATTGGCAGGTCCTAAATCAAAAAACCAGTTCTTTGTTTGGTCGATCCAATCTTTCGCCGCTGACCTTCTGCCGAAGAAAGACATGAAGAAAGCGGAGATAAAGGCCACATCCGTCCACCTATTCGACAACTCTTTCTTCCTTTCTTTTATTGTTTTTTCTTCTATCGCCTTGGCATCTTTAATTCGCGCTTGTATCTTTTGTTTGTCGGTGAGTTGCGGAGCACGACCCATTTGGATCTCGTACTCTCGCATTTGTTCGTTCCGTTCGACATTTTGTAAAATGTCCTGGCGCAAGTGCATCGGGAGCATCTCCGCTGCGACGTTTTCACCCATCGAATCAAACTCGGCGTCAAAATACGGTTCTATGAACGAGTAATTCATCGTTTGCGAAAACACGGCTGGGAATACGACGAATTTCAAGAATATCCGAGCGTTTGGCGTTTCGTCGAAAAACATTTCAATACTTGATTTTTCTTGCGACTGCGATTTGGCCACTTGTTCGTCGAAAATTCTCAACGCTTCCTCTCCGTTTTCAACGACGCCCCAATCTATGGCGTTCAACAGCTGCTCTCTTCTCGCTTCCACACTTTGCTCGGCTACATTTTGGTACGGATACGCGCTCAAAGATTTGATCTCTTCTCTTTTCAACGACGATGAAGATCCGTCCTTCCTGCTGCTAGATTTTTTACTCTTACTACCCGCTCTGGCGCTGCTACTCGTCGCTTTCGTTTTCCCTGTCGTTGTCGTCGTCGTCTGTTGTTGCTGCTGCTGCTGCGTTGATAACACCGACGATGAAGATAAAGAAGATGAAGATAAAATTTTCTCGCCGCTGCTGCTGCTGCTGCTGCTACCGTCTTTTGCAACCGTAACGACGCCGTCCTTTTCACCATTCGCATCTCCCTCTGCGGCTCCTCGCGCTTCGTTTTCGTAGTCTTGTACATTTTCATCCTCTTCTTCGCCCACCTCGTCGTCACCGTCATCGATGGTCACTTCGACCGCGTCTCCCCAACCAATCAGCAGGGGACCAATCTCGTCCTCGTCCTCCCTTCTCCTCCGCGAGAACGAGGACGAAGAAGACGACGAGGACGTTTCCCAATCGGTTTTCGTTTTCTTCGTTTCTTTCTTTTTCGCCGCCGCGGCGGTGCTGGATAAGACCGAGCTGACGAACGCTGAAGCTGGGGAGGAAATCGACGAGAAACTTATCCCGTTACTCGTACCCAGACTTTTGCCAGAGGAGGAAGAGGAGGACGACGACGACGTTCCGTTCCCCGTCCTCGCTCTTCTCTTCTTCTCTTTCTCTTCCTCCTCTTCTTCCTCTCTTTTTGTTGGCGCGTTCTCTTCTTCCTTCTTCGTCTTCTTCTCCTCCTCCTCCTCCTCCTCCGCGCCGCCGAGACCGTCCACGGCGGGCGTCTTCTCGAACAACGCGCGCGTTCGGAATCGATGATCGAACGCGTCGTCGTTTGTTGCTTTTCTCCTTCTTCTTCCTCTCTCAAAGCACTCGTTCCTCAAAATCGTCGTCGTCGTCGTCGTCGTCGTCTTTTCTTCTCGAAGAGCGAGGACGAAAGGTGTTCGAGAAGCGCCTCTTTTTCCTCCTCTTTTTCCTCCTCCTCCTCCGCGAGCAGCAGTCGTAGTCGTACCACCGGCTGATTTTGCTCCTATAATCAGAGTCTCGCGCATGATGATGATGATGATGATGATGATTATAACG